CGGTGCGCGGGAACGCCGAGCGGATGCGGGAGCGGTGCCGGGCGCTGGGGCTGCGCCTGCGGCCACACGTCAAGACACACAAAACGCTGTGAGTGCGTCCCCACGGTCCCCCGGCAACCAGCGGCAAGCCCAGCATCCTCCCCGAAATCCCCCCAGCATCTCCCCAGTATCCCCCCGTCCTTCCCCTTAGCATCCAACTTCCTCCCCAGTATCCTCTCAGCATCTTCCCAACATCCCTCCCTCCACCTCCTCATCCTCTCTCTCAGTACCCCCAGCCTTTCCCCCAAATATCACCCATCTGCCTTTCCAGTATCCCCCCAGCATCCTCCCAGTATCTCCCCACCATCTCCCAGTATCCTCTCATCATCTCCCTCAGCATCTCTCAATTTCCCCAGCATCATCCCACCATCCTCCTGGTGTCCCTTCCAGTACCCCTCACAGCACGCCCTCATCCTCCTCCCAGCACTCCCCCCTTCCTCCCAGTATGTCCCCATCCTGTCCCCAGTATCCTCCCAGTATCCCCCATCCTCCCCTTCAGCACTCCTCAACTTCTCCCAGCATCCTCCCAGCACCTCCTCAGCATCCCTACCTTCCCTCCCAGTATCCTCCCAGTATCCCTTATCCTTTCCCAGTATCCCCCCATCCTCCCCCACCTTCCCTCCCACACTCCCTCACCTTTTCCCCCCGGTATCCCCCATTTCCCCTCTCCTCCTCTCCCGGTTCCCAGGGAAGGCGCTGCGCTGGCCACGGGCGGGACCCGCCGTGGGATCGTGGTGTCCACGCTGGCCGAGGGGCGGTTCTTCGCGGCCGGGGGCTTCGACGACATCCTGTACGCCTTCCCGGTGCCCGAGTGGCGCCTGGCAGAGTGCTCCGCCCTGGCCCAGCAGCTCCAGGCCTTCCATCTGCTGGTGGACAGCCCGCGGGGGCTGGAGCTGCTGCAGCAGAACCCCCTTCCCGGCGGGAAGCGCTGGCTCGTGTGGCTCAAGCTGGACTGCGGGAACGGCAGGGGTAGGTGACCCCCCACAGCCCGCCCACCCGTGAGGGGCAGGGATGGGGCCTCACGTGGCCTCTGCCAAAAGGGGTTTCATCCCACCATGGGGTGGGATGTGCTGGGTGCCCACCAGAACTGGTCAGGATGGGGCAGCTGAGAACCTCCCAAAAGTCATTCCTTAGGGATGATCCATGAGGAGAGCTCCCCGTGTCCCTCAAGCCCCCACATCCACCATATCCGTGAGGATGGGGGATCTGAGCCCACCCCCAAAGTCGTTAATCAAGGATGCTCCAGGACCCTCCAAGCCCTCCCTCTCAATCAGGGTGGGGCATTTAAGACCTCCCAAAATCACTTTTTAAGGATACTCCATGAGGAGAGATCTCCATGTCCCCTTAAGATCATAGATCCACCATCTCAGCAGGAATGGGACATTTAAGACCCCCCCAAAAAAAGCCAGTCTGCGGTGATGCTCCACAGGAAGGGATCCCAGTGTCTCTCCAAGCCCCCCAGGCCTACCATCTCAGCCAGGATGAGGCATCTGAGACCCCCCAAAAGTCCTTTGAAGATGCTTCATTCATAGGGAAGGATGTTCCTCACCCCTCCAAGACCGTCCCCAGTGTCGTTAATCAAGGACTCTCCGTGTCCCAAATCCCCCCAAGCCCTCAAATCCATCTCAACCAGGAGGGGACATTTAAGACCCCGGCCCAAAAATCATTCTTCAAGGATGCTCCATGGGGGAGGATGTGCCAGGTCCCTCAATCCCTCAGATCCACCATCTCAACCAGGACAGGGCACCTAAACCCCCCCCAGGGTCATTTTTCCAGGAATTCCAAGGGGCAGAGCTCGCCCAAACCCCTTTAATCCCCACCCTCCAAGCCCATTCTTATCCTTCCCACAGCCAGGATGCTCCTTGGGGGGGCGGGGGGGGGGGAGGTGATATCCCACCAATCCCCATCCCCACCATCTCTCCCAAACCCCCCTCCCAGCGGGAATCCGCCCCACGGACCCCGCGGCTCTGGCCCTGGCCCGCTCCATCGCCCGGGGGGCTCCGGAGGTGGTGACGCTGGTGGGGGTGTACGCGCACTGCGGGAACACCTACGGCTGCGGGGACACCCCCGCCGTGCAGGCCATCGCCAGGGACACCACCCGCGCCGTGCTGGCCTTCGTCACCAGGTGAGTCCCCACCCACGGGTGTGGGGAGAGCGAGGGTGGAGCTTAGGGGGGGGGTGGCACGTCCTTGCTGTGTCCCCCTCCCCAAATCCCGGTGTTGGGTTGTAAATGTAAACGACCCCCATAAAAGACCCTCAAAGCCCACCCCCCCCCTCCCCCGGGGGGCACAGGGAGGATGTTGGTGGTTCCGCCACCTTTGATGTCACCTTTGATGTGACCTGGGGCATTGTCCCCTCCCTGCTCCTCTGCCGCCCTTTCATCCCAGCGGGGGTTTCGCATCCTGGAGGGAATTGCTGCCGGATGGTCCCCGCTGGGAAAGGGAGGGGGGAAACAGGGACCCCCATCCCCCCACCAACAGGGATGTTCTCACCTGGGGACACGTCCTGGGGGTCCCCAGCCCAGCCTACGGTTGCACCGGTTTTTGGGGAGGGGGGGGAGGAGGAACTGAGGCCACCCCACAAAATTCCCCCTTTTCCCCAAAGCTGGGAGCTGCTCTGGCACAGCTGGGAACAGCTGGGAGGGGTTCCAGGCGGGATCTGGGATCTGGGGCTGGTCCCAAGCACAGCTGGTGGGTGCTCTGCCACATCTGGGGGTACAGGAACAGCTGAGAGGGGTCCCAGGTGTATCTGGGGATGCTCTGGCACAGTTTGGGGGGTACTGAAGCACATCTGGGGGCTCCTGTTCACATCTGGGGGTGTCGTGGCCCATCTGGGGGGATTTCTGCCACACCTGGCGTGCTTGGGCACATCAGGGCATGGTCCCAGTACATCTTGGGATCTTCCTAACATACTGGGGGGGGCTCTGCCCCATCTGGATGGTTCCCTTGAGCGTTTGGGGGGGATTCCTGACCCATCTGGGGGCTCCCTGAGGCATCACCATCCCTGGTCCTGCGGCACCCAAAGCTGAAGGACTCACCCCTGGTGGTGTTCCCCGCCGTGCCCAGGGGTGAAGGACCCACCTCTGGCCCCTGGGGGTGATGTCTCCCTCCCGAGCACTCAGAGGGTCCCCCCCCCTGTGCCCCCAGGCTGCGGCAGGAGGGGATCCCGTGTCCCGAGGCCACCATCGGTTCCACCCCGTCCTGCAGCCACCCGGTGCCGGAGATGTCGCAGCTCACCGAGGTGCACCCGGGCAACTACCTGTTCTATGGTGAGCGGGACGGGCCCCCCCGGGACCCCCGAGGATGGGACACACCCCGAGCTGACCCGGGGACTTTCCCCCCCCCCCCCCCCCCCACCCCCAGACCTGCAGCAGACCCAGCTGGGCTCGTGCCGGCCGGAGGAGGTGGCGATCCGCGTCCTCACCAGGGTGGTGGGGCACTACCCGCACCGAAAGCAGCTGCTGGTGGACTGCGGGTGGGCGGCCCTGAGCCTGCACGGCCGCGACCAGGGACCCCCGGGCTGCGCTGCCGTCGAGGGGCACCCCCAGCTCAGGTGACCCCCGCGGGGCGGGCAGAGGGGGGACAGGCGGGGCGGGGACGGGCGGGGAGGTGACAGCGTGTCCCCCCAGGCTGGTGGGGCTGACCCAGGAGCACGGGCAGGTGGAGGCCGTGGATGGGGAGCTGGATTTCCAGCAGTTCCCGGTGGGAAGCACCTTGGCTCTCATCCCGTACCATGTGAGTATCCGGCCCTGCCGTGTCCCCCCGTGTCCCTTCCGTGTCCCCTCCATGTCCCCTGTGTCCCCCACTGACTGTCCCCCCCTCCAGGCCTGTGCCACAGCTGCCATGCACCCCGTGTACTTCGTCCACGCTGGGGGGAAGGTGGTGGAGCTCTGGCACCCCACCCGTGGGTGGTGAGGAGAGACGAGAGGTACCAGGGGGGTGTGCCCACACCGAGACCCCGCACCCACACGGGGACCCTGCACCCAGACCCCGCACCCAGGAGACCCCACAGCCAGGAGAGCCTGTACCTTCACCAAAACCCCACACCTGTGAGACCCTGCACCTGCACCAAGACCCCTCACCCTCACTAAGACCCCACAGCATGAGACCCCACAGCATGAGACCCCACAGCCATGAGGCCCTGCACCCTCACTAGGACCCCACACCCACAACGAGACCCTTAACCCACACCAAGCCCCCTCATCCTGAGACCCTGTGCCCACACTGACACTCTGCACCCTCAGCAAGACCCCACACCAAGATCAGGCACCCAGGAGACCCCACACCCACACGAAGACCCTGCACATCCACAAAGACCCCACACCCATGAGACCCCTCATCGAGAGCCTTCACCCACACCAAACCCCTGTGCCCAGGGCAGCGTCCTGCGCCCACCACACCGGGGGCTGCACCCACAGCAGGGGCCATGCCAGGGTCCCACCTGGGCACACTGCACCCGCTCCAAGGCTGTGCGCCCACACTGGGGGCCCGCACTCTTGTTGGGGTCCTGCGCCCACAGCAAAACCCTGCACCCACGCCACAGTGGAATGATGCACCCCCTCCAAGACCCTGCACCCACCACGAGACCCTGCACCAAACCCAAGACCCCCCACCCATGCCAGAATGCTGCCCCCAGCTGAAATCCTGTGCCCACCCCAGGGTGCTGTCCCGCCACCAGGGGTCAATAAAGCTTCTTCTCCCGCTTTCAGAGACTGTTTTCCACTCGGGGCAGGGCCGCAGGGAGGCGGCGGGGCTGGCAATCGCGGTTCGGAGCAGCGCGGTCCCAGTTCGGGCCAGTCCCGTTGGGAGCGCCCCGGGTGGGAATCGAACCCGCGATCCTACAGCCTCGAGGGGCGGGGCTTCGAGCGAAGCCCCGCCCCGTCTCTCCCGCTCAGCCAATAGCGGAGCGCCCCGCCCCACCCTGCCCGAGGGAGCCACGCCCAGCTGAGCCCGGTCCGGGCGGGACGGGAACGAGGGGCCGGAGCGGGAGCGAACGGGGCTGAACGGGAGCGAACCGGGACCGAGAGAGGCTGAACGGGAGCGAACCGGGAGCGAACGGACCGGACTGGGATCCAGCGGGAGCGAACCGGGACCGAGCGGGGCCGGACCCGAACCGAGCGGGGCTGTACAGGACCGAACCGGGACCGAGCGGGGCCGAACCAGGACCGAGCGGGGCCAAACCAGGACCGAGAGTGGCTGAACGGGACCGAGCGGGGCTGAACAGGACTGAACCGGGACTGAAGCGGCACCGAAGCGGGGCCGAGCAGAGCCAGACGGGGCCGAGCCGAGCGCAGCGGGAGCGGTTCGGGGTGGCTCGGAGCGGTCCGGCCGGAGCGGGGGGTCCCGGGCCGGGGCCGGTGCCGGCGATGCCGCGGCTCCTGGGGCCGCTCCTGCTGCTGCTGCTGAGCCCGGTGCGGGACCGGGACGGGAACGGGACCGGGACAGGAATGGGACCGGGACCGGGACCGGGATGGGGTCTGGGACCGGGACGGGAACGGGACCGGGACAGGAATGGGACCGGGAACGGGACCGGGATGGGGTCTGGGAACGGGATGGGGACTGGAACGGGTTGGGATGGGCCGGGCCAGGAGCGGAATGGGCCGGGCAGGGCGGGGTGTTCCTGCTGCCCCCGGGCCCCGCCGGCCGCCCCCGGCCCGGGACGCTCCGGGTCATTTGGCTCCCTGGCTTTTGTTGTTTTTTGGGGCTTGGTTCGGTTCACTTTGGGTCAGTTCGGTTCAGTTCCCTCAGTTCCTTTTCTTTCCTTTTATCCCATTTCCCTTCATATTTATGTTATTTTTTCTTTTATTTTATTTTCCTTATAAATTTTGTTTTTATGTTCCTTTTTAACTTTATTTCATATTCCTTTTTTAATTTTTTCCCATTTTGATTTTATTTTTATTTTCATTTTTTAATTTTGATTTCATTTTCCTTCTTTTATTATTTTGTTATATTTTAATTAATTCTATTTTCCTTTTTTATTTTGATTTTTTAAATTAATTTTATTTTCCTTTTCTATTTTATTTTAATTTTTCCTTTTTAATTTTATTTCATTCTGATTTTTTATTTCATATTATTATACTTTATTTTCCTTTATTTTGTTTTATTTTCCTTAATTTCCTGTTACTTTCTTTCATTTTATTTCAGATTTTCCCTTTATCTCCCTTTATTTCCCTTGACTTTATTTCTTTTAATTTCTTTCCCTTTTAGTGTCTTTCTCACACTCATTTTTATTTACTATTTACTTCGTTACCTTTTTACTCTTTTCATTTGATTTTTCACTTTTATTTATTTTCCTTTATTTCTCCTTTGTTATTATTTATTTTTGTTATCCCTCAATCCCTCCTCCCACTCTTTCTATTTTAACCCTCGAGCACTCCCCATCCCCCTCCCCAATAATCCCCTATCCCGGGCCCCCTTTCCATGTTTTAGGAGGGGGGGGTCACAGTGGGAATTTGGGGGATCCTGGAGCAAATTGAGGGGAAACTGAGGCAGGACCCTCTCTGTGCCCGCAGGTGCCCGGGTGGGGCGGGGGGTGCCCCCCGTGTCCCCCCGGTGTCCCCCAGCCGTGTGACCCCGATGACACGCACAGTGAGTACCCCAAAAACACCCCCTCTCCCAAAATACCTCCCTAAACCCTCCTCCCCGCGCAAAACCGCTCCTAAACCCCCCCAGAAACCTCTCCCACAGCCCGGAGCCCCACGGAGGAGGAGCTGGAGGAGCCGTGCCCACCCTGCCCCCCCTGCAGCCGTGAGTGGCACCGGGGACACCCCGGGTGGGGGGATTGTGGGGGTGGGATGGGCAGGAAGGTTTGAGGAGGGGGCTGGGCAGAGATTTCCCCTTGTCGTGCCTCAGTTTCCCCACGTAGTTCTTCAGTTCCTCCCTATTGTGCCTCAGTTTCCCCACGTCGTGCCTCGGTTTCCCCGTGTCATTCCTTAATTTCCTCACTTTCCCCACATAGCTCTTCAGTTCCCCCACGTCGTGCCTTGGTTTCCCCTTGTCCTGCCTCAATTTCCCCACGTCCTGCCTCAGTTTCCTCCTGTCGTCCCTTAATTTCCTCACGCCGTGCCTCAGTTTCCCCACACTGTGCCTCAGTTTCTCCACATTATCCCTCAATTTCCTCACATTGTGCCTCAGTTTTCCCAATTTTGTGCCTCAGTTTCCCCACGTTGTGCTTCTATTTCTCCATGTAGTTCCCCAATTTTCTCACGTCCTACCTCAATTTCCCTATTTCGTGCCTCCATTTCCCCATATTATGCCTCAGTTTTCCCTTTTTGTGCCTCAGTTTCCCCACAGAGCTCTTCACTTTCTCCACGTTGTGCCTCACTTTCTTCACGCAGTTCCTTTATCTCCCCTCATCGTGCCTCGCTTTCCCCATCCCGTGTCTCAGTTTCTCCCTGTCATTCCTTAATTTCCCCACATCGTGCCTCAGCCTCCCCAGGCTGTGCTTCCATTTCTCCGTGTAATTCCCGAAGTTTCTCATGTCCTGCCTCAATTTCCCCCACGCTGTGCCTCAGTTTCTCCAGATGGTTCCTTCATTTTGACATGTCGTGCCTCAGATTCTCCACACTGTGCCTCGGTTTTCCCACTTCGTGCCTCCATTTCCCCATATCGTGCCTCAGTTTCCCCACGAAGATCCTTAATTTCCCCAATTTCCTTATGCTGTGCCTCAGTTTCCCCTATTTGTGCCTGTATTCCCCATTTTGTGCCTCAGTTTCCCCACATAGTTCGGCAGTAACTCCCTCTTGTGCCTCAGTTTCCCCGTGTAATTCCTTAATTTCTTTATCGTGCCTCAATTTCCTCATATCGTGCCTCAGTTTCCCCATTTTGTTCCTCGGTTGTGCCTCCTTTTCCTCAGGTAGTTCCTTAATTTCCTCACATCGTGCCCCAATTTCCCAACATCGTGCCTCAGTTTCCCCTGTTTTTACCTCATTCCCTCTTTTTGTGCCTCAGTATCCCCCCTTTTTACCCAATTTCCCACTTTCTGTGCCTCAATTTCCCCCTTTTTTCCCTCATTCCCTTTTTTTCCTGGTTCCCCTTTTTGTGCCTCAGTTTCCCTTTTTGAGCCTCAGTTTCCCCTTTTTTACCCAATTTCCTACTTTCTGTGCCTCAATTTCCCCTTTTTTCCCCTCATTCCCTTTTTTATGCCTCACTTTCCCCTCTTTTACCTCTCCCCCTCCCCTTTTTCTGGCCGTTCCCCCCACGTGGCTCTGGGGATGACCCCAAAATCAGGTCTCCCCCCCTTCCCCTCCCGGGGGAAACTGAGGCACATCCAGATGCTCCCAAACCTCCTTTAACTTTTGGGGTCTCCCCTCCCGGTCCCCACAGACGTGGCCGCGGTGCCGATTCCCGGGGGGACCCCCCCGGTGTCAGGGACCCCCCGTGTGACCCCCCCGGTGCCGGGGGACCCCCCCGAGCCGCCCCCCGGTGCCACCATCCCCCTGTACTGTGCCCTCCTGGCCGCCGTCGTGGTGGGGCTCATCGCCTACGTGGCCTTCAAGTGGTGAGTTTTGGGGGTCCCGAGGGGGGGGGGACACGCGGATTTGGGGACCCCCAGTGACCCCTCCGCCATGTCCCCCACCCCCTTTCCCCAAGCTGGGACACGTGCAGGAAGAAGCGGCAGCTGGACAAGGCGCGGGATGCGGGGGATGCGGGAATGTCGCCAGATGGGGAGAAGCTCCGGGGGGACAGCGGGGTCTTCCTGGACACCCCCGGCCCGCAGGAGCACCCCCAGCACGGTGGGAATTTGGGGGGGACACGCAGCCCTGGGTGGGGGGGGCACCTGAGAATTTAAGGGGGGGGGACACCTGCAGGTTGGGGGGGACAGCCAGCCCCATGTGGGGTCAGGGGTGATTTGGGGGGGCACTCAAGGTTTTTGGAGGACACCCAGCCCTGTGTGGGGGGACAGGGTTTTGGGGGGGCACGCGGGAATTCGGGGGATGCATCTGCGGGTTTGGGGGGGTGGTGGTCAGGGAATGTCTGGATTTGGGGGACATCGGGATTTGGGGGTTGGGGTGCTCTGGGGGAGCACACGGAGGTTTGGGGGGACAGCACAGCCCGGGGAACACCCAGATGGGTCTGTGGGGACAACACGGCCCGGGGAGCACCCACGGGGGTTTTGGGGTGTACCTGAATCCCGGGGAGCACCCACACGGATTTGGGGGGACACCTGAACCCCAGGGAACACCCAGAGGGGTTCTGGAGCATCCCTACCATGGGATTCACCTGGATGGGGCTGGAGAGCAAAGCACCCACATGGGATCGGGGAGTACCTGGATGGGGTCAGGGAGACCCCAAAGGGGTTGGGGACCCCCTGAATGGGGCTGGGAAGACTCCTAACGGGATCGGGGAGCACCTGGATGGGGTCACGGCCCTCCCGTCCGCGTGGATCTCTCTCCCGGCTGCCGTGTGGAATTCCGGGATGCTGACACCCCTCCCTCTCCCGCAGCCCCCCCCGAGGGTCCCCCCTCGCTCCAGGTGCCCCCTCGGCGGCAGGACGAGCGGGAGCGGCTGCTGGAGCTGGGCGGCCCCGGGGGCACCGCGGGGACAGCGGGCGATGTCACCTCCGCCGTGTGACACCGCCGGGGCCGCCGCCAGATGGATTCTGGGGGGGGTTCAGTGGGTTTTGTACTTTTATAGGGATCCTGGGGGTGGGATGGGGGGCGTTTGGTGGCCTCGGTGTGGGATGGAGGTGGGGGGGATGCGGGAATGGGGCTGGTCCTGGGTGGGGGCATTAAATTGTCACTTGGGGGCCACCAGGATTTGTGTCCTCGGGTGTTTGTGAGTGCATGGAAACGCGTGTCCTCGGGATGTGTCCCCTGGGGTGTCCCCGTGTCCCCAGGATGGGTGTCCTTGTGTGTCTGTGTGTCCACACAAGCCCGTGTCCCTGGCGTGTGTCCCTTCAGGTGTCCCGAGTGTCCCCAGCTGTCCCCGTGTCCCTGGGGTGTGTCCCTTCAGGTGTCCCGAGTGTCCCCAGCTGTCCCCGTGTCTGCGGGATGAGCCCCTCGGGTGTCCCTGTGCCACCAGGATTTGTGTCCCTGGGTGTCCCTGGGTGTCCCTGTGTCCCAGGGCTGTGTCCCCAGGTGTCCATGTCCCCCTGGGTGTGTCACTGGGATATGTCCCCGGGATGGGTGTCCTGGGGTGTCTGGGTGTCCCCAGGATGTGTCCCCTCAGGAGTCCTTCTGTCCCTGGGCTCTGTCCTTGCACATCTCTGTGTCCCCACACACGTCACTGGGATTTATCCCCTCAGGTGCCATTCCCCCAATATTCCCCATTATTCCCCCAAAATTCCCCATTATTCCCCCAATTAAATTCCCATTAATCCCTGAATGGTCCCTGAACAGTTGCTGTTGTTCCCCAAGACCTGCTTTTATTTTCCAAACACCCCCAAGCTATTTCCTATTATTGCCCAGATATTTCCTGTTATTCCCCAGCCACTCCAACTGGTTAATATTTCCAATATTCCCCAAATATTTCCTATTATTCCCCTAATTAATTGCCTATTATTCCCCCAATATCCCCTAGATAGTTGATGTTATTCCCCCAATACTTGCTATTATTCCCCAGATATTCCCTAAGGCAATTTTCTCTTATTCCCCAAACATTCCCTATTATTCCCCAAATAATCCCCATTAGTCCCCAAATATTTCCTGTTATTCCCTAAACATTCCCCAAATAATCCCCATTACTCTCCCCAGTATTCCCTATCATTGACCCCATTAATTTCCTATTATCCCCCAAATATTCCCTGAATATTTTGTGTTGTTTCCCCAATATTTGCAATTATTTCCCAAACATACCCAACGTATTTTCCCATTATTGCCCAAACCTTTCCTGTTATTTCTCAACAACTCCCCAAATATTGGTTATTATTCCCCAAGTATTTCCTATTATTGTCCAAATGACTTGTCTATTACTTCCCAAATTCTCCTCAAGTATTTCCAACTATTCCCCTAATTAATTGTCTATTATTCCCTAAATATTCCCCAAAGATTTGCTATTATTTCTATTATTTTAAAAAATACTATTATTTCCCAGATATTCCCTAAGCTATTTATTAATCCTCCAAAAATCCTCCAAATATTCCCAACTATCCCCCATTATTCCCCAAATATTTCCTATTATTCTCCCAATTCATTTGCTATTTTCCCCAAAATATTTGCTGTTATTTCCAAATATTCCCTATTTTCTTATTATTGCTCAAATATTTTTTATTCCCTAAGCATTCCCCAAATATTCCCCATATCACTTTTCTAGTACTTTCCAAATATTTCCTGTTATTCCCTCAATTAATTTGCTATTATTCCCCCAATATTCCTTAAATATTTGGTATTTTTCTCCCAACATTTGCTATTATTTCCTAGACATTCCCTAAGCTATTTTCCTATTATTCCCTAAACATTCTCTATTATTCCCCCAATTAATCTGCTATTATCCCTTAAAACATTTGGAATTATTCCCCAAAATCTGCCATTATTTTCCAAACATTCCCCAAGCTATTTTCCCATTATTGCCCAAATATTTCCTATTATTCCCCAATTGACTTGTCTGTTACTTCCCAAATATTCCCAAAATATTTGGTCTTGTTCTCCTAAGCTATTTTTGTATTATTCCCCAACTATTTCCTGTTATTTCCCAAACTATTTTGCCATTATTCCCCAGATACCTCCTGTTATTTCCCAAATATTCCCCAAATACTTATTATTGTCTCACAAATATTCCCCAAACACTTCCTATTCTTCCCCAAATATTCCCTATTAATCCCAAATATTCCCTAACCTATTTTCCTATTCTTGCCCTAATATTCCCCAAATACTCCCTGTCATTCCCAGACATTCCCCAACTCCTGGCTGTTATTCCCCCCCTCTTCCCTAACCAACTTTGTTATTATTCCCCAGAGATTTGCTGGTTTCCCCCCGAATATTCCCTGTTATTCCCCAAACCATTTTTCGCTTCCTCCCCAGTTACTTCCCATAATCCCCCAAATATTTCCCGTTATTCCTCCCATTATTCCTCCAGTTCTGGAGCTGTTCTTCCCCAGATCCCTGATGTCATTCCGAGGTGTCCGTGTGTCCCTGGGCTGTGTGGCCTCGGCTGTCCCCACGTCCTTCCACCCACGTCCAATACCCCCTTTCCCACTCCCCAAAGATTCCTGGGAATGCTTGAGGGTCACAGTGGGGTGTCCCTCCCACCCGTGCCCGGCGTCGATCGGGATTTTTTTGGGGGGTGGGGCTCGTTTTTCTTTGGATTTTTTTTTATTTTTTTCTCTTTTTTTGCCTTTTTTGTTTTTTACAAAAAAAGTTCCGTAAAAATTGGAGAAAGTAAAATGCTCGAAGCAGTAAAATCAATCTTATCCACATGGCCAGAAATCCGCAGTTATTTACAGGGGGAACACAGGGAACCTCGCAGGACTGAGGGGAAAACCGAGAGGAAAAGACTCAAAAAAAAAAAAAAAAAAAAAAGGGAAATGTGGGAATAACCCCAAAACATTCCTGGCAAAGTGTTCCCCGTGGGTGGGATCGGCAAGTTCGGGGCTAAAAGCGAGGGGTGTGGGGAAGCAAATTGTTATCAATATATTCACATACACGTTAAAATATAATACAGAGCTCGGGAGCGGCGCTGGCAAAGCCCGGCCTGGCTCGGGAAAACCGGGATCAGCAGGGCCTGGCTCGGGAAAACCGGGATCAGCAGGGCCTGGCTCGGGAAAACCGGGCCCGGCAAAGCCTGGCCAGGCCGTGGCACCGCCGGTGCTGCTTCTCCTTTAAAAAAAAAACTCATGGTGAAAATAAAACCCCCAGGTTGGGGGTTCCAAACGCCCATTCCTGAGGGGAAGGAGGGATGGAGGGGTATTCCAGGTGTTATTCCAGCTCCGTGTCCTCTTTGGGCTTGTAGAGGATTCCGAATTTCTGCATGTACTTCTTGATGTACTCCTTGGTTTTGTGTTTGACGTTCTCGTTGCACTCCAGGTCCTCGGGGTTCTTGCAGTACTTGAGCTCCTTGTTCATCACCCCGTGGGTCAGCTGGAAATGTGGGAATGCCAGGTCAGGCCTGGAATTCCCACTGAGCCAGGCCTGGCCATTCCAAAGGCCATGGGGCTGTCATTCCCTAAGGAACTCCTGTTAATCCCAACCACTCCCCTCTGGTATTGCCCAAATCCTTCCTTTTATTCCCCAAATAAACATTCCCCAAACATTCCCCAAAGAAACATTCCCCAAATAAACATTCCCCAACAGTCTCCAAATACTTCCCATTATTCCCACAATTAATTTCCTATTTTTCCCACCAAATATTTCCTGTTATTTCCAAATATTCCCAAAGCTCTTTTTCTATCATTGCCCAAACATTTGTTATTCCCCAAATATTCCCCGTGATTCCCCAAACACTCTTCATCATTCCCCTACCACTCCAATTGGTTATTATTTCCCAAATATTCCCCAAATATTTCCTATTATTCCCCTAATTAATTGCTTATTATTCCCCCAATATTCCCTGGATATTTGCCATTATTTCCCCAATCCATTGTCTATCATTCCCCAAATATTCCCTAACCTAATTTCCTATTATTCCCTCAAACACTCTCCAAATATTCCAAATATTTCCTACTATTGCCCCAAATAATTTGCTCTTACTTCCCAAATGTTCCCTAAGTCTTTGATATCACTCCCAAAATATTTGCTATTATTTTCCAAATATTCCCCAACCAATTTTGCTGTTTTCCCCCAAATATTTCCTGTTATTTCCCCAAATGTCCCCAACCTATTCCCCATTATCCCCCCAATTAATTTGCTATCATTCCCCAAACATTCCCTAAATAGTTACTGTTGTTCCTGCAATATTTGCTATTATTTTCCAAACATTCCCCAAGCTATTTTCCCACTATTACCCAAATATTTCCTGTAATTTCTCAACCACTCCCCAAATATTGGTTATTATTCCCCAAATATTTCCTATTATTCCCCAAATCACTTTTCTATTACTTCCCAAATATTCCCCAAATACTTCCTACTCTTCCCTCAATTAATTGTGTATTATTCCCCCAATATTCCCAAAATACCTGATATTATTCCCCCTTTCTATTATTTCCCAGATACTGCCTATTTCCCTGCTATTTTCCCAAACATTCCCCATTAATTCCCACTCTCCATTATTCCCCCAATTAATTTGCTATTAATCCCTAAACAGTTACTGTTGTTCCCCAAGCTCTGTTATTATTTTCCAAACATCCCCAGCTGTTTTCCTATTATTGCCCAATTATGTCCTATTATCCCAACCACTCCAGTTGGTTATTATTCCCCAAATAGTTCCTATTATTCCCCTAATTAACTGTCTATTAATCCCCCAATATTCCCTAGATATTTGATATTATTCCCTCAATACTTGTAATTATTTCCCACAAATTCCCTAAGTTAATTTTCTATTACTCCCTCAAAAATCCTCAAACATTCCCTATTATTCCCAAAATATTCCCTATTATTCCCCCAATTAATTTGCTATTTTATTTTCCAAACATCCCCCAGCTGTTTTCCTATTATTGCCCAAATATTTCCTGTTATTCCCCAACCACTCCAATTGGTTATTATTCCCCAAATGCTCTCCAAATATTTCCCATTATTCCCCTAATTAACTGTCTGATATTCCCTAAATATTCCCTAAAGATCTGATATTATTCCCCAAATATTTGCTATTATTTCCCAGATATCCCTATTTCTTTATTATTCCTCCAAAAATCCTCCAAATGCTCCCCATTATTCCCAAATATTTCCTATTATTTCCCCAATTCATTTGTTATTTTCAAAAAAATATTTGCTGTTATTTCCAAATATTCCCTAGGCTATTTTCCCATTATTGCCCAAATATTTCTTGTTATTCCCCAAACATTCTCCAAATATTCCCCATTATTCCTCACATATTTCCTATTATTAACCAAATTACTTTTCTATTACTTTCCAAATGTTTCCTGTTATTCCCTCAATAATTTGCTACACTTGCTATTATTTCCCAGATATTCCCCATTATTCCCTATTATTTTTTCCCTATTATTCCTCCCAACATTGTTCAAATATTCCCTATTACTCCCCAAATATTCCCCATTATTCCCCAAACAACTTTTCTATTACTTTCCAAACATTCCTCCAATATTTGCCATTATTCTCCCAACAATTTGCTGTTATTCCCCAAATATTCCTTATTATTTCCTATCTATTTCCCAAACCATTTTGCTGTTATTCCCCAAATATTTCCTATTATTTCCGAGCTATTCCCCAAACCATTTTCCTATTGTTTCCCAAATATTTGCTATTTTTCCTAAAATACTTCCTATCATTCCCCAAACTATTTTGCTATTTTTTTCCCCAAATATTCCTCTAATATTTCCTGATATTCCCCAAGTAGTCCCTGTTATTCCCCTCACCATTGCTGCTTTCCTTCCCTTTTCCTCCAGGTGGATCCAGTGGATGGGGTGACACAACCCCTCCTGCACCCTCCGTGTCCCCATATCCCTGTGTCCCTATATCCCTATATTCCTGTGTCCCTATATCCCTATATCCCTGTGTCCCTATATCCCTGTGTCCCCATATCCCTTTATCCCTGTGTCCCCAAACCCGTGTCTCCATATCCCTGTGTCCCCATATCCCTTCATCCCTGTGTCCCCATGTCCCCACATCCCATGTCCCTTTACTCCCTGTGTCCCTGTATCCCATTTTCCCATGTTTCTATGTCCCTGCACCCGCCATGACCCCACATCCACCCCCATTCCCGTGTCCCCCAAGCCATGTTCCCCCATTCCCGTGTCCCACCTTGCGTGCGAGGTGTTTGAAGTCCTCGGTGGTGGTGATCCTGCCCACCTTGCAGTCGGGTTTGCGATAGGGGTTCAGGCACTGCACGATGAACTGGGACATCTGCAGACACACGGGGGGATCAGCTCCCTGCTCCCGCCATCCCAACCCAATCCCACTGCCCTGGGACATCCGTGGGCACACGGCAGGATCAGCTCCCTGCTCCCGCCATCCCAACCCAATCCCACTGCCCCGGGAACACCCACCTCTTTCCGGAACACCTCCTTGCTCTTCTTGGCCAGCTCGCTGGACGTGTCGGCTTCCGCCGTCTTGGGCTTCTTGGAAGACTGGGAAGGGAGAATGGAGGGATGGCAGCGCTTCCCGGGCCCTCTTTCCACCTTGGGAACTGCCCATCCCACCCCACAGCCCATTCCCAGTGTGTGCTTCCCAGCCATTCCCAGTGTGTGCTTCCCAGCCATTCCCATTGTGTGCTTCCCAGCCCATTCCCAGTGTGTGCTTCCCAGCCATTCCCAGTGTGTGCTTCCCAGCCATTCCCAGTGTGTGCTTCCCAGCCATTCCCATTGTGTGCTTCCCAGCCCATTCCCAGTGTGTGCTTCCCAGCCATTCCCAGTGTGTGCTTCCCAGCCCATTCCCAGTGTGTGCTTCCCAGCCATTCCCAGTGTGTGCTTCCCAGTCCAATACCAGCACACTCCCCAGTCCATTCCCTGCACACTTCCCAGCCCATTCCCAGTGGCTTTCCCAGCCTGATGCAGCTCTCCAGCCCAATCCAGGCACTTCCCAGCCTGGTCCCACTGAGCTTCCCAGCCTGGTCCCGGTGTGCCCCCCAATCCATTCCCAATATCCTTCCCAGGCCAGGCTCAGTGCTCTCCCCAGGCCATTCCCAATATCCTTCCCAGGCCAGGCTCAGTGCTCTCCCCAGGCCATTCCCAACCCTTTCCCAGCTCAGTCCCGGGACACCTCCCAGCCCAGTGCCAGCACATTTCCCAGCCCGACCCAGGCACGTTTCCCAGCCCATTCCTGGTGAGCTTCCCAGCCCAATCCCAGCAGCTCCACACCCCAAACCAGGCATCTCCCAGCCCACTCCTGGTGAGCTCCCCATCCCTATTCCAGCACCCTCCTCACCCCAATCCAGGCACGATTCCCAGTCTGATCCCAGACCCAGCGTTTCCCACCCCTGATCCTGGCACTCCCCAGCTCAGTCCTGACACATTTCCCAGCCCAATCCTGGCACAATTCCCAGTCACACTCCTGGGCTGGGAGCACAGCCCTCAGGACCACTCCTTGCTCTTGTTTTCCTAGGGAAAAAACCTGGAAAAAGCGCAGGAGCAGGTCCTGGGGGAGCTGGGCTGATCCAGAGTGGGAGCAAGTCCTGCACTGGGTGTGGGGGGGGTTTCCTTCAGGAATTCCCTGCAAGGGCTGGGACCCTCCACAAGCATTCACAGGGATTATCTTCAGCTACAGCCAGGATAAAGTGGATTTTCTAGGAATTCCTGGTTGCTTCCCTGCGTGCTGATCCCTGGTTTTTACTGTGCTGCCTGTGCTAACAGAGCTCACCCCTGGTGCTCCACACCCACCTCCCACACACGCCCATCCCAAGCTCTGTGACATCCTCAGAGTCCAGGGAAGGGAAAAGCAGCGTCTCTCCACCAGCATCATTTTCTGGGAGAGCTTTGGGAACTGCAGGTCACCACAACTGGGATTTTAAGGATGGGAGTAAAAAGGACTTGGGAAGCCGGGGGAGGTTTCCCTTCTCCCTCTGCTCTTTGATGATGTTCCGGCAGTTGTTTTAATTAAAAAAATCCCCATTTTTTAAGAAGTATTTAACACTGAAAAAAGCAGGAGCCGTCCCATTCCTTTCAATCCCTAAAAACGTGCCTGGCTGGAGGGAGGAGCTGCAAAATCCCGGGAGCAGAGGGACGTGGGATGTAAATCAACCTTTCCGGGGCCGTTTTATGGCCGAGGGACATCAAAGCTCTGCAGTCCCTGCCCGGGGCTCCGCTGCCACTTCAAAGGGCCGGGAATGGGGAGCAGATGGATCCCGGAGCGGCTCCGGCACGGCGGCGGCACCAAACCCTGCAATGCTCCATCGACAAACCCTCCTCCACCCCCACATCCCTCTCCATCACCAGCACCTCCTTCACTCCAAAGCTTTCTCCATCAAACTCTTCTCCATCCCCAAATTCTCCTCCGTTAAACCCCTCTCCATCACCAATCCCTTCTCCCCCTCCAAATCCTTCTCAACCTCAAAGCCTTCTCCATCACCAGAACCTTCTCCACCACCAAATCCCTCTCTCCCATCAACTGTTCACCACCAGGTCCTTCTCCATCACCAGTCCCTTCTCCATCAAACCCTTCTCCCCCAACAAACTCTCCTCCACCCCCAAATCCTTCTCCATCCTCAAACCCCTCTCCATTAAACCCTTCCATCCCCCAACCCTTTTTTCCACCCCCAAATCCTTCTCCACGACCAAACTCTTCTCCACCCCCAATCCCTTCTCCATTACCAGAACCTTCATCCCCAAACCCTTCACCACTCCCTTCTCCAGCTTCAAATCCTTCCCCACCCCAAGTTCTTTTCCATCCCCCAATCCTTCTCCATCACCAAACTCTTCCCCACCTTTAAATCCTTCTCCATCGCCTTCTCCATCCCCAAACCCTTCTCCTCCCCCAAAACCTTCTCCACCCTCTAAACCTTTCTCCACCTTCTCCATGTGGGATGAGGGGAAAAATCTGTGCCAAAATCTGCAGGGAAAGATGAGGAGGAGAAACAGGAACTCCCTTTCCAAGCTCCTCCTCGTGCAAAGGCACCGATTTTTCCTTAGGGAATTTTTCCTAATTTTAGGCCAAAATTCACCTTTACTTTAATAATAAAACCTCCCTAACAAGGGCTTTCTCTGCTGCCCTTCCAAAGCATTCCTATAATCCAAAGCTGTGCTGCCCACCAGGAAAACCATCACAGGAAAAGCCCCCAAAATGTGGTGTCCTGATTTATCAGCGTCTGGAGGAGACAGGGATGGAAAAGCCACAAAGATGCTCCTGGGGGAAAACCAGGAATGGGATCAAGAAGTGTGCGGGATTCTGGAGGAGCCTGACTGGGATTGTCTCCCTCCAGCAACCGGGATCTGCTCCACTGACACCAACCTTTCCATGGAGAACCAACCAGCAGGGACACAAACACATCCAGGCCAAAAGGATGGAAAACCTCCGGATCCAGCCTGGTGTCAGTGCCAGGACACTCCCTCACAAAACCCCTTTTCCAAGGGGAAGAAGGGGATTTAAGATGTGCTGTAAAGGGAAATGGTGCTGGGGGCTTCCCACACCTCTTGTGCCTTTCCATCAAAACCATCCCCCATGGAAAGGGAACCCCAGGAATAGCAGCAGCAGCTGTTGGCTGGAGCCACGATGCCAGTGGGTTTAATCCCTCTTGGAAAAGGTGTGGGGTGGGGAGGAGGGAAAAAAAATCCAAGGAATGTGGTGGGAGGCGGGAGCTATGACCATGGGAATTCAATGCCAGGAAAAAAACCGACCTCCTGGCTCTCCTGGCCCAGAAGAAAAAGGATTTAAAGCTCTGGAAGGAGCAGGAATCACCTCACCAGGAGATCACCTTTAGGAAGGAGGGATTGATGGATTTAGGGAATTTCTGCACCTAAAAATTGGGATTTGGGGGCTTGAGTGAACAGCAAAACCTGGAAGGAGCAGCCAAGTCATGCCTATCCCAAAGTGAAGCCCTTGGATCATCACACCAGTCCTCAGCTCCTTTTTATCCCAATTTATGCACAAAAGCCACCATTTATGGGATTAAAGCCATATTTATGGAAGCACCTTTCCTCACTCATAGAAAGCACTGAGACCCTCAAAATTCCCTATGGAAATGACTGCCAGGCTGGAAAGCAGCAGCACAGCTCTATTTCCTTGCTCAAAAGATCCCAACCTTCTCCTCAGCACCTTGTTCTCACCACAGGGATGTTCCCAAATATCCCCAGGCTGCTCCACACCACTCAGCTCCAGCTCATCCCTCTGCAGGGATGCGTTCTCCAGCTATTCCAGCTTGATAAAACCTCACCCAAAGCCTAAAATTAGCATTTCCTTGAGAAATCCCAATATCCTTCTACAACATTTGCAACCCCAAGAAACAAAAGATCCCAGATCCGCAGGGAATGGCACAGGGTACGTGTGACACTGATCCAGGGATAAAAAAACCCTTGGAAAGGCTCTTCTGGAAACAACCGCCCCTTGGCTGAGCAGCAAATTCCAGGTCTGAGCTCATTTGCTAATTAACTGTTTTACAGGGAGACAAATATTTGCCAGTAATTTCCTTGGAGTGAACTCGCCAGGAAGCACTCGAAGGCATTTCGGGAATGGGATTAACCCTTGGCATCCTGGCAGCACATGGAAAGGCAACCAGAGGCCAGTGGGATGTTCCTGGGTGTGCCAGGATGGACAGCACCTCCAGGAAAATTCCTCCCAGCTATGGGAGCACTGGAGCAGCAAGAGAATTATTCCTTTCTTTCCATGGATCTCTGCTTTTTAGGGAACTTTAGGGAAAAAGGCTTCTAAGCTACATCCTTAGTTTTTCCTCTTCCAGTGTTATTCCCTCTCATTCCCCTTTTTTGGGGGATGGGGTCAGCTCCCCACAGGGCTGGAATCCAGGAAAGAACATCCCACAGGGTTGGAATCCAGGGAAGAACATCCCACAAGGTTGGAATCCAGGGAAGAACATCCCACAGGGAATTCCGGCGCCCGCCAGGAGAGCCGAGCACTGAGAGCAGAGCCACTATGAGAGATCTGAGGTCACTCCTGTCCCTGTCACCCCCCAAATCCACAAGGACCCCCCACCCTGTGGCCCATCCCAGGGAAGCGTCTCCCTCACCTTCATGGGGTTCTCGTCGTACGTGGGGGTCCCGAGGTCCATCTCGGCCTCGTGCTCCAGGCTGGCGTCGTCCCCGGGGCTGTCCCACGTCGGAGGATCCCACTGGGTTTGTCTGCAGGAAGGAGGACACACAGACATCACTGTCACCCCCTGAAGTACCTGACACCTGCTCCTCGATTGTCCCACCAAGTGGGGACACCTGGACCCCACTGCCCGTTGGAGATCTCGGCCTCGCCTCGCTCTTCACGAGGGGTTTGAAGGTTTCCAAGTTGGAGAAGGTTAAAACCCAGCAGGAAGAACCTAAACAAGGGAATTTGCACCGTTTCCTATCGCTGGTGACACTGTGGGATCGAGGGATGTTCATCACCAGGATGAAATACCAGGCATGGAAAGGTGGGAACATCCCAGTGGAGATGCCAGGGAAGGGACGGCCACAGGAGCAGCAAAGCTCTGCTGGGTCTCCTCATCACATCCCAAGACTTCCAAATCACTAATTCCTGCAGGAGTGTTTGTTACTGTGGGTGTATGAAGGCCTCCTGCTCTGCTGTTGGTGTGTCAGAGATCCAGAAGGGGAGATGGAAAAGGATTCACGGATGCAGAGGAATGTGTGGCAACAAGAACCGGCATCAGAACACTCCAGACATGGAAGAAAATATTCCAGCGTATCCCTTTAGTGAGGTGGGTCTCCACACACACCTCCAATGGAGGTGGAAATCTAAAAATTCCTTTTGAAAAGCTAAAATTCCTTATAATTTTAGATAAGTTCAGAGGGATTGATCCAACGACTCGGTAACTTCCAAAACCAATCCCAAAGGTGTGGGGAAAACATTGGGAAAGTTGCATTTCCTGCTCCAGAGGTGGGGGTTGGGCTCTTGTCCCAAAAAACAAGCGACAGGACAAGAGGGAACGGTCTCAAGTCGTGCCAGGGGTGGTTTAGATTGGATACGGGGAAAAACTCCTGGTGGGCAGGGTTGTCCCAGGGCAGTGGTGGCCTCCCCATCCCGGGAGGGATTTAAAATCCCTGCGGATGTGGAATGTGGGGACGTGGGTCAGCGATCCCCACACTCACCTGGTCACCACGTGGTAGTAGTAGATCTTCCCCTCGGGATCTCGGGCCGTTTTCCAGTTGGGAGGGAGGACGATGGTCTTGGGCTTGGGAGGGGAAGGTGGAGGCAGGTCCAGGAGGTTGTTGGTCACCACGAGCTCTGGCTGCAAACAGGAACAGGACAGAAGGGGGGAGGAGAAGGATGTGAGGGGTCATGAGAGAGGTCAGAGGGGTCCTGACAGCTCTGCATCCCACAGGAGAACAGCTCTTTGTCCCCTGGGAATCAGCAGTGCTCACCTGCTGGATGGGCTGGGGCTGCCCGGCCGCCACGATGGTGGTGACAGCCGTGGGGGGCTGGACAATGACTCCCTGGGGATGAGCTGTGTAGATCTGCTGGCCCTGGATGTACTGCAGACCTGGCTGGGCGTAACTCTGCAACAGAGCACAGGCAACCACACTCAGCTGGCTCTCCCAAAAAAACCTTTCACTGGACGACACAAAGCAGCTCCACCGTCCCAGGCTGCTCCAACCTGGCCTTGGACACTTCCAGGGACGGGGCAGCCACAGCTCCTCTGGGAAATCCAGTCCCTGTCCACCCTGCTAATCCCTGTTTGGCCCCAACAACTGGGGGAATCATCATCGCTGCAGGTGCCCAATATCCCCCTGGAGGGGTTCAATATCCCCCATCCTGTAGGTATCCAATATTCCCCAGCCCTGGAATTGTTCAATACCCCCCATCCCTGGATTTGTCCAGTATTCCCCATCCCTGGAAGTGTCCAAGGTCAGGCTGGATGGGGTTCTCTCCTGCAGCAGCCTGGGACAGTGAGAGGCGTCCCTGCCCATCGCAGGGGGTGGGGCTGAACGATCCTTAAGGTCCTTCCAGCCCAAACCATTCCACGATCCCACAATTCCATAATTTACAGCGTTTGTAGACAGAAAATACACCCAAAAGGTGCTTTTCTCCTGCTTTTGGGTGGGAAGCTCCAGGAGCAGAGCCGAGTGGACGCTGCACCATTAGGGGAAGCCGTGAAGAGCGAGCCGACCCCGCAGGGAGCTCACCTGGACGATGGGCGGGGTGGTCTGCGAGTAGGGCGAGGTGACGCCGTAGACGGTCTGGCAGGCCTGGCCCTGGTAGTAGATGGCGGGCTGGGACTGGGCGGGCGAGTAGGGCTGCTGGACGGCCACCGCCTGCTGGCCCGAGTCCCACACGCCGTAGCCCTGGCCCTGCACCGCGGCCCCCGGCGCCGGCACGGGCAGCACGGCCACGCCGGGCTCCTGGTGCACCACGGCGTCGGCCGGCGCCACGTACTGCGGCGGGGGCACCTCCACCGCGCCGCCCACGTGCTGCACCACCGGCACCGGCTGCGCCGCGCCCGGCACCGGCTCCGCCAGCGGCTGCGAGGGCTCGTAGCCCGCCGGGGAGCACAGCGAGTCCAGCGACGGCGTGGGCAGCAGCACCTTGCCCGCGTTGGGGTTGCTGGGGTCCACGTAGGCCTGCATGGGGTAGCCGGGGGGGTACCCCAGGAAGCTGTGGTGGGGGGTGCCGTAGCCCATGGAGTCGTAGGGCAGCGGGGACGTCATTCCCAGGTTTTGGAGCTGCTGCTGCTGCTTCTGGGCCTCCCTCTGGGCCACCTCCTGCTCGAAGAGCTTCCGGCGCTCCTCCGTGGAGAGCTTGTTGCGGTCCTTGGGCCGCACCTTCTTCTTGGAAGACGCTGGTGTGTCATACCTGGGACAGGAGGGAGAGGGAAAGGGCTTGGGGGACCTCGGGAAGCTGCAGGTCCGAGGCTCCAGCAGAAAAAGGACCAGGAAAAACCACCAGGAAAACCCGGAATGCCCAACAGCAACAATTCCTAAAAACAGCTCCTTTTTTTCCAGCTGTTTGACCAGCTGTGGGAACTCAGGATAAACACCCCTAGGTCCTGCCCATCCACAAGGAATGAGCCAGGGCCCAGGATGAGTGATCCCAGTGGACTGAGCAACTGCAGTCTGTGCTGCTGCAGAGGTGAAGATGCCGTAGGAATTGTCTGGAGGAGCTGTTGGGCAGCACTGGGATACCTGGAAAGGGAGGGAACACCTCCAAAGCCAACAGAGCCCAAGGAAAGGGCAGAATAAGGAGACCCTCAGGCACTTTTTCCCAAAGCAGGGCCAACAGGGAGCTTGGAAAAGGCTCCCAGACAGAAGGAGCAGCTCAAGCCACGGCATCTCCACTCCCAAATTCCAGCATTGGGGCAGCATCCCATCTTTCCTACCTCAGGGACCCCTACTTTCCAGGGCCTAAAATGGCTCCAGGAGAGCTGGAGAGGGACTCTGGACAAGGGATGGAGGGACAGGACAAGGGGGAACAGGTTCCCAGTGCCAGAGGGCAGGGATAGATGGGATATTGGGAAGGAATTCTTCCCACTTGGCAGCTGCAGACAGGACAAAGAACAAGGGAATCACAAGCAGCACGTTCCTGTTTGGAGTTCTGCTCATTCCCAGACCACTTCAGCCTCAGGAATTAACAGTGTGGATGGATTTTTTTAATTCTTTCAGAATTTTCATCCCAATACACGGAGCAGCTGCAGGGGTTTTTCCAAGGAATTAAAGAAGGAGAGGGGGGGAAAGCAGAAGGACTTTGATCAAAGCTCAGCCAAGGAAAGTTTCAGATCAAAGGTGGCAATTCTGAGCCGCTCCAAGTGAGGCAAAACAGGGATTACAGGGAAGAACACTCTGCAGCCTTCACATGACAGATCCTCCAAAGCATCCGGGATATTCTCCACACATCCTGCGATCCATTTCCATATCAAAAGCACACTGCTACCAGCAGATCCACTTAAGCTGTTTCCTGGCACTCCCAGGATCCGCTAATCTGAACCTCATTGACGTGAAGGGTTTGATTTCCATAATTAAAGTCTTTCCTGGCCCCGCCTGGAATGTTTGGAGGAGGAGCAGCCGAGGGGAAAACCGAGGGTCTCATGTTCCTCTCCCCACCTATTTTGTTATTTTGCCTCATTAAATCCTCAGGATAACAAAGTCAGAGTGGGGAGAACGTTCCCAGAGAAGGATGCTGGTCCTTCACTGCTCATGGACACACACAGGGAAGAGCCAGAACAGGCCACTCCTCCCCCCAAAACCCCCTTTTTTGTTCTGTTAAAACAACCACAAAAAATCCACTATTTATTTACTTCCCAGTGTGCTGCCACCCTTCCAATGCCTCATTCCAGGGGGATAGATTTCCCTCTGTTTTCTATCCAGATGTTTCCAGCTCTCCCAGCATAGCTCCACGTGAGGGAAGTTCCCTGGTCTGGCTGACTCGGCGCTGATTGTTCCCTAATTAGTGAGTCCCTATTGAACAGGGACAGCAGAAAACTGAACTTCTGTGAAGGAAATTCCAGGGGACTTTTCCTGCCTGGAAGACGATCTCAAGCCTCTCTGAACTGCAAGACATGGAATGTTTTCCTTCCCTTAATCATGAGTCTCCTCCTCAGCCACGGAGTGGTGCCACCATTCCCAAGGGAAGGCAGGAGACACAGCACCAGCCCATTGGGATCACACCTGCCTGGACTGCTGTCCTTATAGGAATATTTAGGGAATAATCCCTCGGTCAAGGAAGTTTTTTGTTAGAATTCCTGCCTGGCCTGGGCTTTGCTCCCTCCTGTACAGGCAGGGCTTGTTCCAGGCTCAGGATACTGGGAAGAGGTGGAGGAGGAGGAGAAGGGAATGGGCTTCAAGGGGCTCGGAAGACCTCTTAGCATTAGGAGGGCTACACCCTGGAATTCCTGGATTCCCCATCCCTGGAAAGGTTCACAGCCAGGTTGGATGAGGTTTGGAGCAACCTGGGCTAGTGGAAGGTGTCCCTGCCCATGGCAGGGGGTGGCACTGGGAGATCCATAAGATCCCTTCCAACCCAAACCATGCCATGATCCCTCATTTCCGTGCCAGAGCTGGCACAGCTTCCCTGGTCACCCACCTCTCATTCCCAAAACATGCCTGAAGATGAAGGTGCAGGTTATCCCAGAGGGAAACACCAGCCAACCCCCAGGAACCCCCCAGCTGCAGGCAGGGGATGAACCACACCACGCACACGGGATTCCTCCGGGAGGAGATTCCCTTCCCCAGCCCTGGGTGATTTCCAGGATCACTTTTCCAGGAGATTTGACCCGGGAACAGGACAGACCCCCCTGGCAGCCACCTCACCTGTCCTCCGGCCTCTTGGTGCCACGCTCGTAGGCGGAGGGCGGGGGGGACAGCGAGTCCCTGCGCCTCTTCCTCTCCTTGCTCTGGCTCTGCCGCTCGGGGTCTCGCTCCCGGCTCAGCCCCGCGCTCTTCGGGGTCGGGGTCTGGTCCCGCAGCCCGGCTGGGTCCCTCCCACGGTCACCTGTGGGAACGACACGGACAAACGGGGAGGTTCGGTCACTCGGAGCGTCACCAGCTCCCCTCTCTGCAGGTAAGCGGCCTCAGGGTGTGGTTAGGTTGGATACTGGGGGGAATTCCCTCGTGGAAAGGATTTAGAAGCCCTGTGGATGTGGCACTCGGGGACACGGTTTGGGGTGGCCTTGGCAGCGCTGGGGGACGGTTGGAGTTGATGGTTTTGGAGGGCTCTTCCAACCCCGGTGATTCCACGATTGCCCAACACCACCCTCAGGGCTCCACCTCCCTGCTCAGATGATCCCTCCTGTTCCCAAGGAGCAGGAATGCCGAGCTCTGAGGGCAGGACATCCCTTGGCATCCCAGCCTGGCAAAATGGAGCGGTTTGAGGGGAGCAGAGGGACGATGGCAGAAGGGGGGATGGGGAAGGACGTACCACTGCTCTCCTTCTCCGCTTGGCTCTTCTTGGGGATGCGATACACCTCCTGTGGGAAAGCCACAAGCATGGTCACCACCACTCCAGCTGCTCCCAAAAGCCACCCAAATATCTACAGTCATCACATGAACCGTAAATTTATGAGAAACCATCCAAAAAGTGTCTCTGGAAGGAAAGTTCTCGTTTTAGGCCAATTATCCCGGTGCTTTCTATATATTTCCTCTTTTTCCATGTATTTCCTCTGCTCAGTGTCTGATGTTTGATGGATTTAGGTGGAATTTTGGAACAAGGGCTCCGGGAGGAGCTGCAGGACCCACACTGGTCACACCTCCCCGTGGGATACAAACCCCTGGACTTGCAGCTCCGCTGGAACGGCAAAGAAATGATTTTTTCCAACTAAAATTGGGCTTTTCTGCCTCTCATTTGCCAGCCCTGGTGTTCCCACAGTGACTCTGGCCACCAATCCCTGCCCTGAGCTGCACACTGTCCTCAAACAACACCGTGGGGACACCAGGGGCCTCCCCAGCTCCTGCTGTTGTGCCTGCCCTGCTCTTCCAGGCACTTTTAACTAGCCCTGCATGGAATAGGGAATTGGACTGGATAATCCCTGTGGGACCATTCCAATGGAGATATTCCATGGGCCTGTGACAGTGCAGGTTCATCAGCTCGGAGAGAGAGACACAGTGCTGGTGGTTTTGTCACCTGCTGCCCCTTCTCCCATGGAGCACCCCTGGGCTTCTCCCACTTCCCTCCTCGCTGGGACAGGGTCCACCAGGATTCCAGGATGTTCCCCAGATCCAGTGTGTCCCATGGGAGGAAAACTCCCAGCTCAGAGTAACCCCTTGGATGAAACTCCTGCTGAAGCTGCCGAGATCAGACACAAACACCCATCGCTCCTCAGCAAATTCCAAACCCTCTGCTCATCCAGCTCCAGGATCCTCAGCATGGGAAGGACGTGGAGCTGCTGCAGAGAGTCCAGAGGAGACCCTGGAGCTGCTCCCAGGGCTGGATCCCTCTGCTCTGGAGCCAGGCTGGGACAGCTGGGGGGGTTCCCCTGGAGAAGAGAAGGATCCAGGGAGACCTGAGAGCCCCTGGCAGGGCCTAAAGGGGCTCCAGGAGAGCTGGAGAGGGACTGGGGACAAGGCATGGAGGGACAGGACACAGGGAATGGCTTCCCACTGCCAAATGGGATATTGGGAAGGAATTGCTGGCTGGGAGGGTGGGCAGGCCCTGGCACAGGTTGGGCAGAGAAGCTGTGGCTGCCCCTGGATCCCTGGAAGTGTCCCAGGCCAGCTTGGAGCAACCTGGCACAGTGGAAGGTGTCCCTGCCTGTGGGTGATGATCCTTCAGGTCCCTTCCAACTCAAACTCTTCTGGGATTCTAAGAAGGGGGAAGAAAGAGAAAAAAAGCGGCAAATGAGGATTAAAACCTTCCTAAAGTCCAGGTTGAACATCCTTGTTAAACACCACTGGATTATGCAGCAACAACGATTCCCAGGCCATTTTAACCACTTGTGTCTCCCTACAATTAAGAAATTAGTTTTATCAGCACCTTTCCACGCTCAGCTGGATTTTCCATTGGAATATTCCAGCACTCAGGGTGTAAATCCCATTTTCGTAGCGATGCCCATGGTCCCCCAGTCTGGATCCCGAGGTTTTACAGCATTAGTGACTCTCCAAGCACTGGGAGTTTGGACTAAAAAGCTCCTTTTTTTTTCAATTCCAGTTTTTACCAAACCCTTGCTCTGCTCCCTTCCCGAGGGAAGACAGCAATTCCCAAGAATTCCCAGTTATTCCAGGCAGAACACGATGAACCAGCAGGAAAAAAGAATTCAACTCAAATAAATCAACCCTGAGCAATCCCAGGGAGAAAATGGAGAGGATCCCTAAGGGAGCAGCAGCTGCATCCCAAAAAAACACCATTAAATCCTAAAAGAGAAGCTCAGTGTTCTAAAAATAAGGTGTTTTGTGCAGTGTCCTGAGCTTCCAGCTTTTCCAGGGCAGGATTTAGGGACCTTCCCTAAAATATCCTTTAATTTAGGGCATGGATGAGGCAGAGGAGGGAAAAAACATGGAATAAACTGTTCCTGGGGGGTGAAATCTGCTCCTAGTTGGGTGTTTAAAGCTTTACCTCAACTTGACTCCCAGATTTTATATAATATTCTGGGGGGTTTAAATTCCTTGATTTTGGGGGAATAAATTAATTTTTGGGGGTGTCCACTGGGCTCATCAACAACGTGTCCACCCCCAGCACCGGATTTCATGACACCCCAGCTTTGAGAATCCCACTTTTTTAGGGAAAAATCCCCTTCCCCAAGGGCTCACAAATTCCATTTTCCTTGAGTGAAATAAAAGAAAGGATCAAAAACCCCGTTGTGGTTTGTTCTCGAGGCAAAAACCACATAAAAAGTGCTGCTGAAGGTTAAAAAAAAAAAAAAAAAAAAAAAAAAAAAGGGATTTTGGCCAAGATTTTTGTTTTATAAAAAGGATTTTCTGCTTTTCCGTGGAGCCTGAAAAGCCCCACGTGAGGTCTGAAGCATCTCCAAAGATGAGAGGCTTTAAAATGGTGTAAAAAAAGCCTTCTTTTGGTTGTTCTTATTTATTGTCATGTTTGCTATGGATTAAAAGACCCCAAATCCAGGGGAGGGGAATTAATGAAATGCAGAGAAATGAGGGAGCAGCTCTGTGTTTGGAGTGGGAAGGGATGCAGGAGCCTATAATTATATATTTAGCAATTATATACTAAATTCTATATAAATTATATACTAAATCACACACAAAATTGTGGAATCATGGAATGGTTTGGGTTGGAAAGGACCTTAAAGCTCATCCAGCACCACCCCCCCTGCCCTGGGCAGGGACACCTTCCACTAACCCAGCTTGCTCCAAGCCCCATCCAGCCATAATCTATCTATTTATACTTATTTTTCCACATAATTCCAGAGCTCTGGATGCCAGGGATGATTTCCCCTCCTGTGGGAAGGAGGTGAGCACAGGGGCAGGTTCTGAAGCCCCAGAATCTCCCCCCAGCAATGGGGTCTCTGCTTTTTTTTTTCTCTCTTTCCCACATCATCCCCCCCTCAAAAAAAAAAAAATCATTCCCAGAGTAGCACATCCATAAAAACCTCCCTGGGGCTTCCCAAGTGCTGTTCCCAGGAAGAAAGGGGGGATGAGGAGCCATGAGATGATGGAGGAACAGCCAAACAGCTGAAGGACAACGGAAGGGAGGGAAGATAAACTACACCAGCCTTCCCAGCTCCTAGAAAGGATCTGTCCCAGTAAATAGCAGGATGGGGAATGGGAAATGAGTGGGCAAAGGGTCAGTGGGATGGAGGAGCAGAAGGACCCCCTGAGTAAGTGGAACTGGGAATCACCAACTGCTGCTCCTGCCCACGTGACGCTTCAGGATCACCAAAGCACTGGGGGAACCCATTCCAGGATCCAGGATCCATCCCAACAAACTGGCCAGTCCCAATCAAGGCCCAGGAAGCCCCAAATCCAAGAGAATTACGAGCAGGGAGTCAGCTCCGTCCTGCTGGGGAGCAATTCCAGCTGCACTCAGCGGCTCCGGAGCCTCCGTGTGGGAAGACAGAGCAGCAGAGGCTTTGAAGCAGCAATAAACACGGGAATGTGGCAGGATTGCTCCATGAAAACCAGATGCTGGTCAAGCCAGGCCGGGGGAACTCCCAAGAAAAGCCTGGTTTATTTCTGGAAACAGAAGCTGCTGGCTCAGAACTGCCCAGCTCCTAAAGCAATCCTAAATCAATCCTAAATCAACCCTAAACCAATCCTAAAGCAATCCTAAAGCAATCCCAACGGGCTCCAAGCAGCTCCCGAGATCCCAGCACGGCTTTGAAGGGACTGCCCGGAAAATGGGAGGCAGAGAGCGAAGTGACACGAGTCTGGCAGGAACAGAAAATGGGGGGAAGTGGGATCTGGGCTCTCCAGTTGCAGGGAGGAACCTCCCTTGGGCTGGGAAAAGGGAAAAGAGCAGCAGGATGGACTCAAGACTCACGGGATGCAGCGGAAGGAAAGGCAGCTGTGGCTCCAAGGAACTTTCTCCACAAATCTGTCCCTTAGCTGCCAATTATTCCTGACTTAACAGCTGGAGTTAATGATCCTAGAGGTCTTTCCCAACCTTAAGGATTCCACAATTCCATCCCACCATTCTATGAACTTCTGTTGACTTTTGAAGGAAAACCACGTGACAGAATCTATCCCCTTCCAGGTTGGATCCTCTTCCTTCCCTCCTCTCCTGTCCTCTCTTCCCTCTGCAGCTCCAGCAGAATCCCAAGGGATGGTGGAGAGCAAGAGAAAGGACTTAATGCCAGGAGATCCCCGCTTGGAGGCCAAAGAATCCCACCACAACCAAGGGCCTGGCAGCTCCCCAATCCCATTGTTTCCCCAAACTATTCCTTGCTCTGAGTTATAACAAACTGCAAGATTCCCAATTAAAACACGGGATGTGCGTGCCGGAATCACAGCCAGGAACTGCAGGACGGCTTCCCTGGGAAGAGGACAGGCAAGAGGAGCTGCACAGGACTGTCCTACCGCGAAAAGTCGGGATGTGACTTGGGAAGATCATCTCGGGGGAAGGTGGATCTTGGTTGGCCTGGACAATCCCAACCCTGCTGTCCCATTTCCAGGGGAGGATGAGGTTGGATATGAGGAAGATTCCTTCACTGAAAAAGGTTGTCCAGCCCTGGCACAGGCTGGACTCCCCATCCCTGGAGGGATTTCAAAGCCCTGTGGATGTGGCACTTGGGGACATGAGTCAGTGGTGGCCTTGGCAGTGCTGGGGGACCAGTTGGACCTGATGGTCCAAGAGGGCTTTTCCAGCCTTAGCAATTCCCTGATCCCACGATTCTTAAGCTCTCAGGTGGGTGTTTTCATGGCAAAGAGAAAGCCCACCTTGGCCAAAGTCAGGGTGACAACTCAGCCTCGACCTCCAGGTCACTGCGGAACACGAGGCCAGAAGTGCCCAACTGAAACCTCCTGAGCCCAAGGGTGGCTCTTCCACAAGGTTCTTCCTAAAACTGAGACCTTCTCCACCTCCTAAGGACAGAGGCTGTGGATCCTCAGATCCACAACTCCTCCCTGCCCCTTCCCAGCAGGTGAGGGGCCTCCACAGGGACAGGAGAAGATTCCCAGAGCTCGGCCCCACCTGTGGCAGAGCCCAAACGTGTCCTCCTGTCCCAAACTCCTGTCCCTCAACCTCAGCCACCAAAAGGACGTGGAGAAAACCTCCCCAGGCTCGGCCCTACGGCTCACTCCAAGAGGGTGGAGCGGCAGGTCTGGTGGCCACGTGTCACCTCCACCACGGATGTGTCGGCACGGATGGGTCCCTGGAGCCTTACCTGAGCGCAATCCTCCGGCTGCAGCGGCCTAAGGGACCTGGAAGAACCACGTGGAACCACCACCTGTGCCCTGGCAGGGCTGGCCCCTGCTGGGAGTGAGTTTTGAGCCCGGGAGAAGCCGTGCGGCGCTTCCCTGGACGGCGGGAACGGCGCCCACGAGCCCGGGCTGGAAACTCATCCCGCCGGGAATGTCAGTGTGTGTCGTGCCGGGTGTGTGGGAACGGCCAACGCTCCTCACCGCGGAGCGCTGGGGCCCTGGGAGGACTGACAAGTCCTGTGTGTAAGAGGTAGAGAAAAAAAGAGCTCACTTAATCCTTTTTCATGCCAGGAGTCGGGATTTTCCCGGAGCGACGTCCATTGCCGGCAATGGACGCACCAAAATAACGTCGGCATCCCCGAGTTAACCACCTCTGTCCTCCTTGCACCTATCACACTGCCATGCATCAGCCAGCTTCCCAACCATCTTCCCGGTTCTTCACGCTAGGGCCTCTCCCTTCTTCCACACGGGCTTGAGGAAAGGAGACACATGGGGAGCTCCAGGCTGCCCTGAGAAGCTGGATGGAAACGGTGGAAATTACAAGGGGATCATCAGCAAGACTGGAGAGGACGTTTCAGACCCCCCCCACCCCGCCCCAGCCAATGGCAGATGTTCCACCACCGCAGGGAAACCAGCTTTGGAAAAGCTTGGACGTGCTGGAAAAGGCACCTGGGGGTGGGTTATCCATCCCCGCTCCGCCTAAAGTGCTTCCAGCTTTTGGTCTCGTCTTTGAGACGTCGGCCACCCGCAGGTGGCCCCTGGATCTCAGCAGGTGAGAGTTGGACAGAAGCAGTTAACTCTTAGGGCCACGAGAAAACGCAGGACACAGTGAATTCCCAGCTCACAGAGACCCTACGAGTGTTTTACGGGACACAAACGAGTCGCCACAACCCCCTGTGAGGGTTCTGCGGGTTCTTTTGGGATGGATTCGCTGAGATCGTTGGAGCTCACGAGATCCAACCCCATCCCTACAACCAGACCTGAATTAATGAAAGACCCAGAGAGGACGGGAATCCACATTTAAATCTGGGAACGTGTCGGGATTCCACAGCCCACTCACGGCCTCCAGCAAAGCCCTGCAGATACCAAGGCTGAGCTTCCCCAAGCTCAGGAGAAAACCCAAACTTTGGGGTTCAACCATCAGGTTCAACTTGGACTCCACAACCAGTGTTTTGGAGGAGTTTCGTGAAACTTCCCCCATTTCTCAGGTTTTTAGCAGCATTTCCTGAGCTCTTTTCCAACCCTTGGCAACGGATGGAAAAGGACTTTTTCCAGTTTATCCATAAATTCAACCTGACAGCGTCGCTTTGATGAGAAAACCACATGAATGCTAAAGAGTCTAAAAATTAAAATCTAGGAAGTGATCCACTTGGAAAAAACAAAGGGGGAGAAAGAACCGAAGCACAACCCAACTTCTCTACGGGAACACATCTTAGTGGTGTCCCTTCCTCCCCCACTGAGATTCAGGGCCCAAACGATGGCACCCAAAATGCTCAAAGAGTCTCTGATTCCTCTGGAAAATTCAGATTAAGGTAAAATTTCCCCTTTAAGTCTCCCCATTTATAAATCCCGGTGTTTGCAGCTCCAAAGCAGAGGTCCAGGAGCTCAGAGCTCCCGAGGTCTCCTCCTCCCGTGCCGCACAATTAACACCCGTTATTGTAATTAACCTCTTTGAATCGATACTCATGATCAAACTCCAGGGGTAAATGGACTCTTCAGCTCTGTGATGCTTCATTTGATGCTTTAAACTCCTCCCAGTAATTAAAAGTGGGCTGATGGTTGATTAGGAGAAGGCCTGTGCCGAGCCCAGGCGATGAGGGAAGTTGGATCCCCAGCAACCACAGCGACTGAAGAGCTCCCACCCCCCGTGCTCTTGGATATAAGGAATTTAAGACAATACATGGAATATAATCCTACAGAAGCAGCAGGTGGGTGAAGAGTTTCCAAAGATCTAAAGGAATCCAGGAAATGAGGGAAGCTTTGAGGGGAACTTTGATCCAGAGTGCCATGGAATGGTTTGGGTTGGGAGAGACCTTAAGGATCATCCAGTGCCACCCCCTGCCATGGGCAGGGACACCTTCCACTGGCCCAGGTTGCTCCAACCTGGCTTTGGACACTTCCAGGGATCCAGAGGCAGCCACAGCTTCTCTGGGAAATCCATTCTAGTCCTTCCTCACCCTCCCAGCCAACAAGTCCTTCCCACCTAAACTAAATCCCTCATTTCTCAGTTTAAAACCATAACTGGAACCTCATCCTGAAAGCTGTTGGTTGAAGATCAAGTGGCCAAGTTGGTCACCTCCAGGACAGGAACACAATTCCAGAGGAGCCACCAAGCACTCCTCTTAAGAGGATTCTGCTCAAGGAAGACTTTGATGGGAATGAAACCACTCAAGTCTCAAATAACACCCCAAATCCGGGTGTTTCCCTGATCTAAACACCAACTGCAAACACCCAGAGGTGACCCCAGCACGGCCTTGGAGGGAGCACAACGTGGCCAAGAGACTCATTTCTGGAGGCTCCACAGTTGCAGATGGAAAGCAGATGTTAAGGACAAGAAATGCTGAGAATGTTCAGATCACGGAATTCAGAGAATCCTGGAATTGTTCAGATTGGGAGGGACCTTAAGGATCATCTTGTTCCACCCCCTGCCATGGGCAGGGACACCTTCCACTAGCCCAGCTTGTTCCAACCCCGTCCAACCTGGCCTTGGACACTTCCAGAGATGGGGCACTTGGGAGAAGCCCCGAACACTTCCAGGGATGGAATTCAGGAGCAGACAGTCCATCCATTTACTTCAACACTGAGGGATTTGGCCACTGTCACCCAAAATGCTCGTGGTGCTGTCTCCAGCCTCTTTTCCCAACGGGACGAGAAGGGAATCTCAGTCCCTCAGAGCTGCCCTTTCCCTGCACAGCCTAACAAACAACAGGATGAGCGAGGTGCCTTTGTGTTCCCAAACCAAACCCAACACCTGGAATTCTACTGCAAGTCACACACTGAGCAACCAGAGGATCTATATAGAAAGCACTTTTTCTGTAGGCAATTCTAGTTGTCACACATTTACCAAAAGACATAAAATTCATCCCAATTACACCAAACCACCAAAACTCCGCATTTTCCTCAGGAAGAGGTGTTGGAGCCAGAGGTGCCTCTTACCTTGAGCTCCTTCCAGCTGTCGAGCAGCCTGGTGGCCAAGTCGCTCACGTCCACGATTTTATCTGTCTGCTCCTGGCTCCTCTCGCTCTCCACGTCGGACACGCCCTCCTCCTCGTCCTGGGATGGGGTCTCCATGGCCATGGGCTCCTCCAGCTTCGCCCCGTTGCTCTCCTTGGCCTCAGCTTCGGGCTCAGCCTCCAGCTCTGCAGGCTGGGCTTTGCTGCTCTCCACAGGCACATCCACGGCAGCTTTGACCTCCTGCTGCTGCTGCTGCTGCTGCTGCTGCTGCTGCTGCTCCTCCGGTGCCTCCACGGGGGTTCCCTCCAGCTGCTCCAGGTCTTCCTTGCCCTCCTTGCCCTCCAGCTCGCTGGTTGTGTCCGAGATGGCGCTGTCCATGCTGTTCTCGCTGATGATCTTCAGCCTGCGGAACACCAGCTTCTTGGGGGTGTCGGTGTCCCCCTCGGAGCCCTGCTTGGCGGACAGCTCGGGGGTGTTGAGGGGGGTGTGGGCGCGGGACGTGTTCTCGCTGGAGTAGCCGTCGCCCTCGCTGAGCTGCGGCACCGCCGTCTTGGTCTGGGCCCAGCGCTGGATGATGGGCAGCACCTTGCTCTCCTCCAGCATGTTCTTGGTGGGGATGGGCAGCAGCTCCAGGGTCTTCATGATCTAACGGCAAAGGCAAGCGGGACGTTGTTAAAACCATCCAGAGTTGAGAATTATTTCCTTTTCTCGACAGGAGCTGACCAAGATTATCACAGAACCCCAGCGTGGGCTGGGATGGATGGATCTGAGAGCTCTTCTCATTCCAACCCCTAGGTGGAACCTTCCACCAGCCCAGGATGCTCCAAGACCCATCCAACCCAGCCTTGGACACTTCCAGGGATGGGGCAGCCACAGCTGCTCTGGGAACTCCATTCCAGTCCCTCCCCACCCTCACAGGAAGGAATGCCATGCTAACATCCAGTCCAAAATCTAAACATCCCATCTAATCTATCCAGTGACGGTCACAGGTCATGGGTGGGGAATTTCAGTAGAATTTCTCCCTGGAAAGGGTGGTCAGGCCTTGGCAGGGGCTGCCCAGGGAGGTTTGGAGTGCCCAGCCCTGGAGGTGTCCAAGGCAGGCCTGGAGTGGTTCTCAGTGCTCTGGGCTGGGGACAAGGTGGGGATGGGGCACAGGGGGGACTCGGTGACCTTGGAGGGCTTTTCCAGCCTTCCAGGAATGGGGCAGCCACAGCTTCCCTGGGCAACAAGGACCTGGATTTTAAAGGAATACATCCAACCCTCAAAACTCCACCAAAGCTGAACACCGTGACCTCAGAGCAAGTTTCAACATGTCTGAAGTTGGGATGGATCCCACCTATCCCCAAAAAAAGAAATCACAGCAGTCACAGTCTCAGACTGGTTTGGGCTGGAAGGGCCCTTAAGGATCATCCAGTGCCACCCCCTGCCATGGGCAGGGACAACTTCCACCATCCCAGCCTGCTCCAAGCCCTGTCCAAACTGCCCAGAACCTTCTTGTAGAATCATCTTTAAGAAAGCAACTTCCAGGTGTATTTTGCCACACAATCCCAGATTTGTTATGGAAAACAGAAACATTCCTGTTCCACTTCAGACCATCAATACCTCCAGTTGCCTGTGCTTTGGCACAGAGATACAAAGGAAATAAAGCACAGGGAATAAACAGCAACAATCTTTAAGTCTGGCTTATGAAATCCAACTCAGGAATCTAAAAAAACCACAGGAGCAAATTCCTTCCACTAATTAAGGATGTGCCTTAGGGCAGAAGTTCCAGGGCTGCAGTCCTGAGGTACCTGAGCTCGTTTCCATGAACACTCGGCATAAATTTGCATTTCAAACTACAAAAGGAAAAGAAAATCTTTGTGATTCTGAGCTGCTAAAAACCTTCTCCCTGGAAAGGGCTGGCACAGCTGGAGTGCCCGTTCCAGGAGGGATTTAACAGCACGTGGCACGTGGGACATGGGGCAGTGTGGCCCTGGCAGTGCTGGGGGAGGGCTGGACTCAGTGTTAAAGGGCTTTTCCCACCTCAGTGTTCTATGCAAGCTCCAAATCCCAGGGAATTACCGACCTCCAGCTGCAGCTTCAGGTTGTTGGCGGTGCTGCCTCTGCCATCGCCCAGCTCCGTCATCCAGATCCAGAGCAGGGACAGCCCATGGCACTCCAGGAACGACTTCAGGCAGGACTGGGAGTGCGTGTTCTGGGGGAGCCAAAGTTAGAGAGAGGCCATGGGAATGCTCAGAGATTTCCAGGAAAAAAAAAAACCCTTCCACTCCCGCTCCACTGGGAGTATGGAAGCCAGTGCAGAGCCAGAACTCGGCACCTGGGCAGGGCCAGCCTCACTGAAGGGGCCAAAACTGCTGGACTTGGAGCAGGAACACAACAGCAGGATCACTGTAACCATTATCTGGGGAATAAACCTCAGGATAACGGACTGTGGAGCCACTCCTCACCCTCCTCCCACCTCCCACCCTGCTCCTCTGAGGATGTGGCTTTCCCAGGACACGGATCCCTCCCCTCCCAGGGCTGCTGCTCACCTGGATGAGTTTGAGGCAGGTGAGTTTCTGCTCCAGGGTCTCGATCCGGACCATGAGGCGGGACAAGCTGAGCACCTGGTTTTTGTCGGACAGACCCTCCCCGTTCTCCAGCAGCGCCTCCAGCTCCCCATCCACCTGCCCAGGGAAAGGGAACACCCTCAGGCCTCCTGCCATCCCCTGGGATGGAATTCCTGCCACCCCCTGGGATGGAATTCCTGCCACCCCCTGGGATGGAATTCCTGCCACCCCTGGGATGAAACTCCTGCCACCCCCAGAATAGAACTCCTGCCACCCCCCAAAATGGAATTCCTGCCACCCCCCAAAATGGAATTCCTGCCACCCCTGGGATTGAATTCCTGCCATCCCTGGGATGGAATTCCTGCCACCTCTGGGATGGAATTCCTGCCACCTCTGGGATGGAATTCCTGCCACCTCTGGGATGGAACTCCTGCCACCCCTGGGATGGAATTCCTGCCACCCCTGGGATGGAACTCCTGCCACCCCTGGGATGGAATTCCTGCCACCCCCCAAAATGGAATTCCTGCCACCCCCCAAAATGGAATTCCTGCCACCCCTGGGATGGAACTCCTGCCACCCCTGGGATGGAACTCCTGCCACCCCTGGGATGGAATTCCTGCCACCCCTGGGATGGAATTCCTGCCACCCCTGGGATGGAACTCCTGCCTCCAGATTCCAGGGAAGGGCTCTTTTTAGCTCTGTAAATCCAACGCTGCCCGGAGGAAATTCCAGGTGGCTGCGCCAACACGCTCCCAAAAATGAGTTTATCTTTTTAGGCAGGGACACAAATGTGCACTGAGAAATTATCCTTAATTACAGATCAAATTTGCTTTTTATAAGCTTTGTGGGCTGTATAAATTCTTTACAAATTATCTTTAATTGCAGATCAAATGTACTTCTTTATAACCTTTAGGAATTGTATCAATTCTTTATAAATTACCTTAATTGCAGATCAAATGTACTTCTTTATAATCTCTATTTATTGTATAAACTCTTTACAAACCTACATTAATTTATAGATAAACTATAATAGATTTATGATCTTTAGAACCAGAGGAGAATCCCTTTCCATGTGGGCAACCTTCATTATTTAGCCCCTAATCTGTGTTTTAAAACACAGGATATTTATATAATAATGCACAATAATACTTATTTTTATAACTATATAATTCTTTTCTATTACATCCATGTTCTATTTACATATTATAGTTATGTATTATATTTATAAATTTTAAATATAATAATATTAATATTAATATTACTAGTAATAAACTAAAATTTATAATTATTTCTTGGCTTCCCTCACTCCCTGATCCAGTAAATAAAAATAAAACTGCCTTTTTTACACAGAGCTTCTCCCCAAAAAAACCCTGGGAATAAATCTTATCCGTAGAAATAGGGGCTTATATCTTCCAGGAGAGAATAATAATCCAGGAGGAACTAAAAAAGAGCCAATGTAGGTTCTTTCAGAAGTCTTCACCCAAAAAAAAAAACTCCTTTTGAGTGTTTTGCTCTGGATTCTCCACAGTTTTTCCACTTCATGGGAACCCATCCCTGCAATTCCATGTGTTGCCTTTAAGCCAGAGGAATTCAGAGACTCAGATTCCACCTGGAAAAGGGAAAACTCTGTGCCCTTTGAGCTGCCAAATTTCAGGGAAGATCCTGAATCTTTTAAGCCAAGGTTGTTCATCTTTCCCTGATGTTAAAAAATCATGGAAAACAAACCAAATGTTTAAAAGCACGTGGAATTTAGCGGATTTTAGTTAGGGATGAGCAGATATTGGACCTGTGGAAGCCCCTCTTGGGTGGGACTTCGGGATAAATAACAGAGGGAAAGAAATTGTGGATTTAACTAAAGACCCAAGAAAAGATCCAAGTTCATGGATTTAACTGAAGATCCAAGAAAAGACCCAAGTGTTGAGGGGCCTCGGGAAATAAAATCCCCCAAAGCTGGAAAAGAGCTCCAAGAGCATCAACTTGGATGACAAATCCCTGGAAAAGCCTGAGCCCTGAGGTCCTCAGGAGTCCTGTTTTCCCAGGGAACAGGGGACAGGACGAGAGGAAACAGCCTCAAGCTGCACCAGGGGAGGTTTCAGTTGGATACTGGGAAAATTCCCTCATGGACAGGGGTTGTGCAGTGGTGGAGTCGCCATTCCCGGTGGGATTGTGGACCTGGCACCCGGACCATGGCTCAGGACTGGCCTTGCCAGGGCTGGGCTTGGTGAGCTGGGAGGGTTTTGCCAAGCTCAGGGATTCCCGGGAGCCCCAGACTCACCGAGTCCTTTTTCCGGGAGCGTTCCTTCTTCATCTTCCCTCCGGCCGCCCGGATGCTCACCCTGTTCTCCCCTCCCAGGTACCCCCGGCAGTTGGAGGAGCCACAGAAACATTTCTGAGCCTCTTTGCTGGGGGGGGGGAAACACAAAACTCGCTTTAATCCCGGCTCAGCTCCACCCCCAGCCAGTTTTCCCCCCCCCCCGGTTTTCAGTGAATCCTCAGGAGAAATGGGAATGTCTCTGCATGGAAAAGCCTTTCAGGCCGTTGGATATTCAAATCCAGCCGTTATTCCTGACAGAACTCCCGGGATCCCCTGCTGTTTCAGCTGGAAAACAAAGCCTGGGGCACTTGCAGGCCAAGATCCAAGCACCAGAAAGGAAAAGGTGGAGCTGGTGGGTCTGAAAACTTCTTATCCCACATGCAAATCAATATATTCCTTCTCCTAAGGAATACCTTATCAGGATTATAGAAAACTTGCATTTTATAGCCCTTTATAGTCATTTTTGAGCTTAGTTCTTACATTTCATAGTTCAACTATATAAAATATAGAATAAAGAACGAGTTGAGGATTCATGGAAGCAGTAAAATTCACATGGAATTTTTTTTACATGGATGTACAGCCAGGGAGAATAAATATAATAATCATAAACACAATTAAACTACTTATATAAATTGATATATAACTATATGTTGTTTATATATTAATATATTATATATTAAATGATGTAATAATTACAAATATAAATCTAATAAATTCTGTTCTCTTCAGGCAATATTTCTCCCAGACCTCTGTAATTCCTACTTGAAATACCACCCATTTCGAACTATATTCCACAATTCCTTGGGAGAACGTGCAGAATCCCCTGGAGGAACAGCACAAGAAAAAAGAACCAGGAAAGCTCAACTCCAGGATCTTCCAGGAAGGAGGAATCATTTTAAAAAGCAACTAAAAATTCCTTTCTGATTCTCCTGCTTCCAGGAAGAGCCTGAAGAAGGATCCAGAGGGGAAAGGAAGGGATGATCCTTACGTTCTACTCCACTATACAGGTAGAAAAACAGCAAGGTGGGAATATTTGGCTCAGGTTTAGCCAAGGGATCCAAATGCCAGGCCAGGAAAACAGGAGGCGTTACCTGGGAGGCTCTTACAGCTCCTCAGGTATTTGCAAAGTCCCAAAACAGGGATGGGAGGGGAAGAGGAGGGATTATTAAGGAATGCTGCAGAGCCTGGAGCTGGAGCTGGCTGGGGGTTTCCCGGAGCAGGGACGTACCCGTATCTCTGGAACTGGTAATCGAACGTCAGCTCCGAGCCCGACGGCACCAGCTTGGTGGTGAAAAACCCCACCCGGAGCTGCCCATTCACGGTCCACTGCGGAAAAGCCAAGATCCAAGAGTTACTGCACCACAAAACCCGGGATATGCCCCCCTCCCCACCCCAGCTGACTGGATTCATCCCTGGAACGGCATCGCCGCGTTCCATCGCTCCGCGTCAAGCACAGCCCTCACCTCGGCCGCTCCAAGGACAGAATCCCAAATTATTACAGAGATGGGAAGGAGAAACGCTCCCCACGGGTTGGGGGGGGAATGGGAAGCCCCTGGATGTGCTGCAGGTTTTTTACCTTTTGTGTCTCGCAGTTGGGTTCACAGCTGTGGTTCATGAAGCGGGAGCAGTTCCCCTTCTGCGTCGCATCGATTATCTGGGAAGGAAGGAGAAATCCACGAAAAACGGGCTCATTCCCGGGAATAGGAAACGGGAACATCTATAAACACAACCCACATAGAAATAATCCCCTCTTCCTGCTCTTTAGTTGGGCTGGAAAATGAGGTTTATTAGGATTTTATTATGATTTAATGCCCCCCAGAAAGGAGCACTCAAGGAACGCGGTTCTTAATTTTCCTGGCAGAGCTCTCCAGCTGGATGGGAATCCTGGATTTTTAATGTTCCTGACCCTTGGATATGGAGCACAAGAGATTTCTGGGAGATTTTTTTGCCACATGCACTGTACTCCAAGGGAAAAGCCATCTGCTGTATCACTTCCAGTAACAACAACTTCCATAAGTTCCTTTCATAGAGGAAAACCCTCCTTTGGGTCCGTTATTATCACAGAACAAACCCTAAAGTGATTATGTGGGGGAAAAAAAAAAAGAGGAAAAACAGAGGGGGGAAAAAAGGGAAAAACAAGGAGAAAAAGAAGGAGAAAGAGGGAAAAAACAGGGAAGAAAAAAGAAGGGGAAAAAAGTATTTTTAGCTCATTTATTCTCAAACTCCTCAGACCCAAAAAGTCCTGAGAAAAGAGAGAAGCAGAATAGGAGATTAATTCCTATTTATCCAGGGAGGGCCCAAGGCAGCAGCTCCACATCCCACAGAGTTTAAATGATGATAAATAATTAGGAATATCCCAGATATAAATATTCCAGTGACATTCCTGTCCCTAGGGATTTTGCCAGTTAAAAACACCCCAATTTAATGGGGTTTGATGTAAAAGGAAATGTGGTTTCCTGGCGGACTTGGGCATCCAAGAGGGTTGAGTTGGGCTTGGAGTATCTCCCTAAGGACACAGTGTCTCCTCCTCATGTGGATGATCCATCCTTTCCTCTGGGATGACCATTTCTCCTCCCTAAGGACACTGGGATACAGTTGAGCTGCTGGAATTTTGTTGGGACAGGTTGAAAACTGAGGAATGGGTTGAAAAAATAAGGCATGAAGCCTCCTTTCCTTAGGCAAACCTGTCTAATGGACTCAGGATGCTGCTCCATGCATTCCCAAGCAGCTCACAAGGCCCAGGAAGACTCTCCCAAAGCCAAGCCCAGCAATCCCTGTCTCACCTCATCATTCTTCAGGGCCATGAAATAATAGTGGATGTTCTTGTTCCGGGCATATTCCTTCACCCGGGCCTTGAACTCCTTGTGATCCAGCACTTCCCCGCAGTATTCCAGGACAAAGGTGTTGCTGCAAGAGGGAAAAACACCACTTGGCTTAGGACAAACCCACCAATAAACACAGAACAACCCTCAGCTGATCCAGTGGGAGGGAAACCAGGAAGCCACAGGCCACATTTGCTCCCTTGAGGGAGTGAAGGAGCGGGAAAAGGCTGTGGGAGTAGCTTACGATGGCAGGTCTTTGGCAGCTCGGAGCCCCCAGCCCTTCTTCTCGGTGAGGATCACCTCCACATCCGCGTGCTGCTTCTTCTGGAAGCGTCTGTTGGAGCAGTAGTCCCCGTTGGGACAGCGGGAAGAGCTGTGGGAAGGAAATGGGAGCAAGTGGATTCCCGGCGGGACAGCGGCAACGACAGGGAGGGTTCAGATGGGAAACAGATCCCAGGGAATTATAACAAACTCTGTGAAACCTTGGAATGTCCTTGGCTATGGAAAGCACAGCCCTGTGAGTGTCAATTCAAAGACAGACAATTTATTTCTGGAATATCTGGAATGCTAATCCTGCTGTGCTTCTACGGCAGACCATCACAGTGGGACGAACCGGGACCTCCTCCCCAAGTTTAGGGGCTTCTTCCTCCAAGATATTCCCTGTCTGGGCTACGGGATAAAAACTAAGTGTGGGATTCTGGCAGGTAATTCCAATCCTTCCACCCTAACTGGTGACAATCCTCATTCCAGGGGTAATCCCTGTTCCCAGCCTCCAGCTCCCACGAGGAGGCAAAACCTTCCAGGAGGGAGAAGGAGACAACAGCCGTGGGCTGCTGAGGCTCTGGGAAGAGGAGATCCAGGAGACTGGGAGCTCTGAGCTCCTGCACATCATCCAAAGATTGAAATCATGGAATGGTGGAGTGGTCTGGGTTGGAAGGGACCTCAAGGATCACCCATTTCCACCTGGCACTAGCCCAGGTGGCTCCAAGCCTTGTCCAACCCGGCCTTGGACACTTCCAGGGCCGGGGCAGCCGCAGCTCCTCCGAAGGTCACCGCACGCCAGCGCTGCCCCTTCCCAGGAATCTCGGGGTCAACTTCAGGGACTTCCAAGCCACCTGCAGGACACCCCCCCAAGCCCGTGGAAGGGCACTCACCACTCGATCATGAGCAGGCGGTTGAGACAGTCCTCCCCACAGGCCACCTCGCCCTGCGCCCGCTCCTCCTTGGACAGGGGCGGGCACTCGCACAGCATCCGCTTGATGTCCCGGTGGGACTTGTTCTTCTTCCTGGGCAAGGCCAGCCGTGGAAACACAAGGTGAGACAGCAGCTGGCTGCAGAAATTCCCCCTCGATCCTAAGGGGGTTACTGGAGGCCATTAATCTCTCCTCCAGCAACGGGATACATGGAATGGTGACCTCGGGATCACTGGGCTTGTTTTGAGAGGGAGGTGAGGATTTGGTGATCGTAAAAATGATTCCTCAAAAAGAATTCCCAGGGTAATTTAACTTTTTTTCCTTCTCCTCCACGTCCACATTTATTTGGGTGTCCATTTGTAAATGGTGTTACTTTAATAAAGGAAATTGGAGGGTTTAGTTACTTCAACCTCTGGTTTAAGATGAGAAAGACAAGGAAACCAGAGCTACAGGGAAAGTAGGGCAGGAAAGGCATCCACTAATTAATATTTTAACTTATAGGAGATAATTTCAGGAATTTTTTGGAGTGTGGATCTCAAAAGACATAAGGAAAAAAATGTGGGATTTCAAATTATGGTCATGGGAGCTAAAAAAAACCTCATCTGAGATGATAAAAAAAGACTTGAAATAATGAAAACCTTTGGATACACGTGTTGTGCATCCAAAATCTTTCCCACACCTGGACAGAATTCCCTGTGACAACAGAGAGGGAGTTGGTATTTGGGGAGACTAAACAGGCTGGATCTGAATAAATAAATCAACCTTCCCTTTGTGTCCTCCCATTTTTAAACTCTTCCCATCACCTGGGAATGTCTGGGTCAGCCAGGGGATTCTCTTTAGGAGCAGGGATGCAGGGCAGGAGTGTTGTCTCCTTTGCCTTTGCCAGACATCGGGAAGGCAAAATCCCTCCCCCTCCCTCCAAATTATGTTGATTTGGCCACAAACCCACAACTATCACGGCAGCAAAGGGGAGTTAAAATCCAAAACTGCCCTGGGAATCAAAACACGGATGGAACGAGCCGTTACCTCTCCGTCAAGTAGACGTTCTCCTCGATGAGGTCGAAGTAACAGGGCATCTTGCCCTGCTTGGCGAACTCCTTCCAGCGCTGGGGGTCTCGGAAGTCATCCATGATGCAGGGCCGGCCCACCATGGAGGAATCCTGCGGCGCCGGTTCCCCCTCCGCCTTGCCCTTCCTCTTGTCCCTCGAGTCCCCGTCGCTCTCCGAGTCGCTCTCCACCTCCAGCCGTCTTTTCTTCGGTGGCCCTCGTTCCTTCACGTCGTTTTTCTCCAGAACCTTCCCCTCCTCCTTCTTCTCCGCGCCGGGCACCGGTTCCTTGGTGGAATTGCTGCTGATCTCGTGCGCCTGCACCGAGCCCTCTTCCCTCTGCCCGGGCAGCTGGGATTTACTGGAGGGGCTGGGATGATCCCAACGATCATCCTCTTCGTACTCCTCGTGATCCTCCGTCAGGGAATCCGGCACCTGCCCTTGGATCCGCTCGTAGTTGACCACGGAGGGTCTGCTGGCAGACCTCGCGTCCCAGTAACCGTTGCCTTGCCAGTAATTCTGGGAAGTGCCGTAGGCTCCGGAGCCCGGCTGGTAAACGTATCCCGAGTACATCCCGAAGCTGCTGTCCGGCTGCTGGTACGTGCTGCTGGGCTTCTCCGTCTGGGAATAGTCCCAGCCCAAAGCACTCATCTCCTCTGCCGTATGGAAACCATCCAGCCTGGGATAGTCTCCGAGGCCGGACTGGTTGAGCCCACCCTGCCCTTGCCGACTGTCCGGCTTGGAGCAGCTCATCTGGTGTCGGGATGCATCGGTGCCTTCAAAACTCTCGGGAAGACAGAAGGGCTGCTCGTCCGGACGGCCCATGGGCCTTCCCATGGCCACCATCTCCATCAGCATCATCCTGTCCCCCGCGTCGGGCTTCCCGTGGGAATCCGTGGTCAGATCCGCCTGGCTCGTGCTGTCCACACCGTCGCTCTGCGCCTGGCATGGATCCACCCACAGTTCCTCCACCTCCTTCCTGCTCAGCTCCGTAGATGTCGCCAGGCCCTTCTCCATCCCTCTGGGAGAACTCCTGCTCTCCACCTGAGATCCACCTTTGCTCTCCAGCCTCTCCTCATAGTAGGGCCTGCTTGGCTCGGGCCGCTCGTCGTCCCAGTGGTCGGAGAAGCGCCGGTTGCCTTGGTTGCTCCGGGAGGAGCCCGGGCTGTTCTCCTCCGTGGCGATGGTTGAGTTCTTGGGGACCACCACGACGGATTGCAGCCGCTTCCGCGGCGTGCCGTCGTCGGAATCCGAGTCGTCCGTATCGCTGTCGTCACTGCCGCCCTCGCTGTCACTCTCCCCCGTGTCCGAGTAGTCGTCGTGCCCAGCGGGAATGAATTCCACGGCATTGCCGCTGCTGTCGCACGTCGGGGCCTGAGTCATCACCTCCGTGTCCTCTGCCGTGACAATGACGTCAGAAGAGGGATACAGGACGTCTGGAAAAGCCGAAGCCACCAAGGGCCCGTTTCCCTCGTCCCTCTCGGCCGGTACGCCGGGACATGGAACCCTCAACTCCTCCGGTTCAGCTCCCTCGGTGGAAACAGCCCTTTCCTCCACGGCCCGGCTGCCGCGCTGCTCCAGCGGCACTTCCGAATAGTAGGAATGTTCATCTTGGAAGGCCTGTTTGCTCTTTGTTGAACCAAGATCAACGTGCCGAGCATCCAACTCCAGCACCTCTTCGGCTTCTGAATGCTGGAGCAGCTCCTGGTGCCCAGGTGGTGGCACATCCCATTTGGAAGAGACGCTTTCCTCCGGCATGGGATGATCCGGCACGAGCTGCTGGGAACAGCCATCCTGGGAGGAATCCCTGCTCGAGCTCTCCACTGCCAAGATAATTTTATGGGAAGGATGGCCGTGCTCATCCTCGCAGGCAGACTTGGGATGGGAATCCTCCGCGCTCTCGTAGTCGCACGTCACCGTCTGCGGTTCCACCTGCACGTCCAGGAAAGCCTCGCATGGAACTTTCAAATCCGCTGGTTCCGCCTCAATTTCCACTTCTGAGTGGTACAAAGCAGGGGCGGCATCATCAGAAATGTAGCAAAAAATGGGTTCTTTGGTTTTGTCACACGGAGTCACTTCCTCATCCACCTTCTCCAGGGCGGTTTTAATGGGATCTACATTCACGGCGGGGAAAGGGGCGGGTTCCTCCAGCTGCTGCGGCACTGGAGGCTCCGCTTCCCGGAACAGGCTGTTGCACTCGCTGGACTGGACCCGGGAGTCATCCAGCTCTTGCTCTAGAGACACATCCATGCCCTCAAACCCACTGGATGGCAATGGATACGCCGGGCTCGTCTTCATGACAGGTGACGCTTCCGACCGGCACGGGCCATCGTCAGAGGACGCGGGAACATCCTCTGCTTTGGAGGCACTGGAAATTGCCAGACCACCATCCCGACCCTCCGGGGAGCCGTTGACGCTCAGTTCCGTGGGGAAACACGTTCTTACCGGATCGTGCTTCACCTTTAATGACGTTTCTGGTTCCTTAACACTGTCGTGGTTTCCACTTCCCGCGGGTTCCTCGGAGCTGGAGTTGGCAAAACCCACTGTCGACTCGTCCGCCTTCGGCAGCGCGGGCGAATCGCTGAGCTGCTTTAACGGAGAAAGCGTCTTTTCCCTTTCCGGCTTTTTGGCAATGGACACCCTGATCTCATTGCTCTTCAGACACGAGCTCTCTAAATCTAGAGAATTACACTGCGGCTTGATTTCCTCGAGCGATTCTGTACAACAGAAAGAACTCTTAAATTTATCAGGCTTTGGCGCGGGGGTCTTGGAGGGGGTGGATTTATAGCGGGAGGAATTCACATTACTGTCGGGCTTGGAATGGGAAGTCCCCTTCCGATAGCCCAGTTCATCGAGGGGAGAGCACCTTTTGGATACTTCACTTTCGGAAGTCCTTTTGGAATCTCGATCCGCTTTCGACGACGACCTTCCTCTCCTCTCCAGGTCGGCGTGAGACGACTCCGCTTTGCTGTCCCGCTCCGACTTGGAGTAGGAAGATCTCGAGTCTCTGTAGGAGGAGGAGGAGTGGGAGGACGTCCGCCGGGAGTCGCTCGACCTGGAATGTGTCCTCCTGTAGTCGTCCTCCGAGTCCGAGCTCTCCCGGCCCCTGTCCGCGTAGGAACGGGAATACCTGGACCTCTCCCTGTACGGGGAGCTCCGGTGGTACCGCCGCTCGGACTCGTAGTAATGCGAGCGCTCCGACCTCGAGTAGGAGGAGCTGGTGCGGGAGCTGCGGTCGGAGCGGGAGCGGGAATGAGACCGGCTTCGCCTCCTGTCTCTGTCGGAGCGCGAGCGGGAGGACGAGTACCGCGAGTCCCTGTCCGACTTCGAGTAGCTCAAGTACTTCTCGTCCCTGTCCGACCTGGAGCGCGATGAGGATTTGCCCGGGTCGTCGCCTCGGAGGGACGCGGAGCTCCGTCTGGAATCTCGCTCCTTCTCCGTGCTGGAGACCTTCGGCTCGTGCGAGCGCTGGCTGGACGAGGTCCTCACCGAATCCTCGTCGGACTCGGAGCCCTGCGGCGCGCCGTCGGATTGGGAGAACTTCCTCTTCGCCCCCGGCCTCCGGGAGCACGCGGGAGCACCCTTGGAGCCGTCGGAAACCTCCTCCTCTTTCCCAATATGGGAATCTTCCTTCTGCGGGGTCATTTCCGGCTGCTCGGGCGCGTTGTGGGCGACACGTTCCTCGGCTCCGTGCGATCCCGCGTCCTGCCTGGCCTCGGGCTCCGGGGCCTCCTTGGGTTCTGCGTGGATCGGTTCCTTCGGCGTGGGGGCTTCGGCTTCCACGGGCGGCGACAGCAGCAGCATCGACATCGGCGTCACCGGCGGTTGCGGCGGCGCTGCGGTCACAGGGACCGGTGCCGGTGGCGGAGGAGGAGGTGGCGGAGGCGGCGGCGTGGGCGGGAATTCCACGGCCAGGCCCACCGGCTCCGCTCCTGGCAGCGGGGCTGTCACTGCCACAGCCGGTTTGGCCGTGACACTGAGCAAGTGTTTCTTAAAATGAATCTTCCCCAGTTCTACCTTCGGTTTCGGGGGAGAAGATTCCTCTGATGAAGTGGCGGCGTCGCCCAGGTCCGGTTTGGTTTTGGGGCTAAAATCAGAGGGAAGGGGAACTGGGGGGTTGGGAGCTTCATTTTGTTTCTCGTTTCCGAGTCCACTCAGGAATCGATTGGGCAAAGTTTTCTTGGTTAAGCTAAAGCTGAAAGACACTTTTTGCCGTCCCTGTTCCTCCAGGTTGACCTTGGTTTTGGTGCCTTTGGGCAGAAAGCGACTGGAAGCGACGCCTTTGAACACGGGGCCTTTGATAAAACCAGTTCTCGGTGCCGTTTCGGGTTTGCCCTGTGGGGAGGAAGAGCAGATGAAGTTGGAGGAATAGAGGGGTTTTAGGTTTTAACAGTATTTCCTTTCACCTGGTAAATTTTTCATGCTGATCAAAGAGAAATGGACACCCCGGCTCTGCCTTCCATGCCCGGATCTGCCCTGGACATAATCGATTCCTCGGGCACCTCCAGTTGGAACAAAATCTCCTCTGGGGTTTGGGCTGAGGCTTTTTAACTGACTCATTAACAACCCAACTGAAAGTCCTTCCATCATTTAATTCTTATTTTTTAAAAAAAGAGACAGAGTTCAACACATCAGCAAACTGAGGACAAAATGCTGCTTTTTGTGCAGTTTTTGCACTCCTGGGCTACAAAATATCCTGAATTTTCACCTTTAGATATGTTTGTTTCCACAATTTCAGAGGACTCCACCTGGATGCAGCCTCCCAGTACTGGAAAAGGCTCCAGGGAGACCTGAGAGCTCCTGGCAGGGCCTAAAGGGGCTCCAGGAGAGCTGGAGAGGGACTGGGGACAAGGCATGGAGGGACAGGACACAGGGAATGGCTTCCCACTGCCAGAGGGCAGGGTGAGATGAATATCGGGAAGGAATTCTTGGCTGGGAGGGTGAGGAGGCCCTGGAATGGATTTTCCAGAGAAGCTGTGGCTGCCCCTGGATCCCTGGAAGTGTCCAAGGCCAGGTTGGAGCAACCTGGGCTATTGGAAGGTGTCCCTGCCCATGGCAGGGGGTGGGATGAGATGGTCCTTAAGGATCCTTCCCACCCAAACTCTGTCCTTTCCCAGCTCCCTCCAGCAGCCTTATCCCAGTCATTACTAATTCCCAACAAGTTTCCAGGCTCAGCCACAGACCAGCATTAATTAAACCCCCAAGAATTCCCAGTAGGATCCGGTACTGCGATGACTCCTTCACCTGCAAGCAACCAACTGGAACACACTCCACATCCTTCCCACTGGGAGTTCCGGGCTGGATCCTGCCAGGATCTCCCTCAGCACTTAGCAATCCCAAAACTGGGAATGTTCAGAGCATAAAGCACCATTTATTTACCCATTTGGGGGTTTCTCCACCTATTTTAAAGCTTAAGGTTCCTCTGTGTCCCAGGAATGAGCTTCCTGAAGGGGAATGGAGTGGCACTGTTGGTAAAAGGTGTCTCTGTCAACAGGGTTTATCCCCATAAATTTGAATTTTATGGAATTCCAGAATGGTGTGAGTTGGAAAGGACCTTAAGGATCATCTGATTCCACCCCCCTGTCGTGGGCAGGGACACCTTCCATTATCCCAGGTTGCTCCAACCTGGCCTTGGACACTTCCAGGGATGCAGGGGGAGCCACAGCTTCTCTGGGAATCCTGTAATTCCATGTTGTGTGGGAAGCGTAATTCCAATGGAAAGAGTCACATCAGAGCCATTCCAAGACAGGTTTTGCTCCCAGAACTTTGCCATGGCCACATTTTTGGCAGCAGCAGCAGCAGCTTCCCACTGTGAATCATTAAGTGCTTTGTTATCCTTTAACTCCTGGAAAACAATCCAGGGTTTTCCAGGCTCAAGGCACCGGAGTCAATCATTAAATAAGATGGTGGTGGACTGGAAATCCCGAGTTTTTTGCACCCTGGGACATCATAGATTAAAAAAAAAATCCTCTTTTTGGACACACTGGGGTTGATTTGAAGTGTGAAAACCTTGTCGTGGTCTCCACATGACCCAACCCAACATCCCCCTGGAATTCCGGCAGCAAATGAACTCAGTGTGGGAAAAGCGGGAGGACAAATCCAAAGCATTCCATGAAAATGGGTGTTATTTGTGTGGGGATATTTCAGGGATGATTTTAAACAATTTCCAGGGCTGGAAGGGCATGAAACGGGATCCTCCCACCCCGACTGTCTCACAACAATATTAATATTTATTATTCTTACAATTTAAAAATTCCTGAAAATATTCCCAGAAAGGAAATATTTCCCTGCTTCCCAAATTTTTCCCTTATTCCCCAAAAGTAGTATTCAAAATGATTTAAAATTATTAAAAATTAAACTTAAAATATAATAATAATAATAATGATAACAAAGCAGTTTTAACTAATTCTAATATATTATAGTTATTAAAATTAAAGATTATATTTTTAAAAAATCATTCCCAAAGTTTTCCTTACTCCTAAAAATTATTATTTGTAATATTAATAATAATAGTAATAATAAAAAATTAAAATGCAGTATTATTAAAATTTTTAAATTATTGCCAAAAATTATTCCCCAATGGAAATAGTTCCCTTATTCCCAAATTTTTCCCTTACTCCCCCAAATTAGTATTTTAAATTATTAAAAATTAAATTATTTAATGTATTATTATTATTATTATTATTATTATTATTATTCACTGGTATCAATACCTCTAGTTACTGAAGTTAAAAATACTATCAAAATTATAGAAAAATATTTCCCAAAAGGAAATATTTCCCTTATTCCCAAATTTAACCAGAGGAATCCCCAGAAAAACATCCCTTTGCTCTATCCGGCCCCTCGGTCGCTCCCAACTCCTGGAATCCCTTGGCCAAAGCAGCCCCAGGCCGGGCTCCAGTGTTACCACTCACCTCATTTTCTTCTTCTCTGTTGTCAGCGAGCCGAGGGAACATGGAAAAGAAACAGGAAATCAGGAATAAACACCGGGACAAACACGGACTGGAACGTTCGGCCCCGGGGCTGGGATGGGACATGAAGGGTCACCGACACCCCCAACCCACCCCGGCCCTCCCACACACCCAGATCCACCTCTGCAGAGGAGCACGGGGAGTGGGGGGGGCTCAAAAATTCCACCCTGGAAAATTCCAGGTGGATCTGGACAGAGCAAACCTTTGCGGAGCGAACCCTCGGCTCGCAGTGTCTCCCGAAGGATATTCCAGCGGTTATTCCAACACACTGGAGAGGAACTGAGGGCATGAAACACCTCAACAACCAGACTGGAGCAGCTGCATTTGGGGTTCCTGGGATTTTAATATTTTCCTTAAGAACTGAAAGGATTAAAGAGGAATGAAAGATGCTCCGGAAGGTCTTGCGGATGCGCAGCCTGGATATTTGCCCCGATGATTACGCTTCGTTAATCAAGCAATCAAGCCCATTAATCAATTCATGCCAAGTCTTTGGGCAGCTCAAAGCTCATCACTGCAATAATTAGGACCGTTCTCTGCACCCCAACCAACGGGACAGCCCAGCTTTCCAGAATTCCCAAGTCCTCTGCTCCACGCAAGGAAGGAGAAGGAAGAACACAGCGACTCTGTCCCTGCTTTGCTCAGTTCCTGGGAGAGATTCCAGGAGTTTTCTGGTCATGCCAGGACACCACAACCCAGACACAGACAGTTCACCCATCTCTGTCTGTCAGGGATCTACCAGAGATCCCCAAATCCCTCGCCAGCTCCAAACACAGCTTAGAGTTGGAATTTTGCTCCATTTCATCAGAATTTTGCTCCATTTCATCAGAATTTTGCTCCATTTCATCAGAATTTTGCTCCATTTCATCAGAATTTTGCTCCATTGCGTCACTTTTGGGCCACAATTCGGTGTCACCAACACAAGTTTCCTGCAGAAAACATTCCCAGATTTCCTTTCAGGCACCAAGTGATCCAGAAATATCGATTTCCAGAAGAAAAAGCCAAAGTTTTCGGATTCCAAGCAACCCGAAGGCGGTGAAGGCGCAAGAACCAGCTCGTCCCATTTAAACCATCCACCGGGAATAATCCTGGAAAAACCAACCCCCACAGGAATACTGTCCAAGGCTCCCACCCAACTGCCAAAGCTGATTAAAAGGCTGTAAATTATTGCAGGGAGGAAAGAGGAGCCACATTCCAGCCCCAGAGCACACGAGATTCCATGGGCCCAGCCAAGCCTGGAATTCCCAATCCAGCCCGGGCAGGAGCTCAGGAGCCCTCCAAGGGCAGCTCCTGGACTTGGAATGAACACCTACAAGGAGGTTTCCACTTGAGAATCCCAGCAGGTGGAATTTTAGACTTCCAGGAATCTGTTGCTCTCGACGGTCCCGGATTTTGGGGGTTCAGTTTTGGGGTTTAGTGGAGTCAAAACCCCACATGGGTGATTTAGGGATCTTTTCCAACCTAAACAATTCCATGAAGACTTCTAAGACTTCCATAACCAGGTGCAGCCCAGGATTACAACCAGCAGATGACAATAATTGCATTTTAACTACTATTAAAAATTATTATCATTAATCAAATGATCACTCTTAAAATTGGTAAAAAATTATTCCCAAAAATTACTCCCCAAAAGGAAATATTGCCCTTTAAAAAAATTACTATTTATGCATAAAAATACAGATTTCAGTAGGTGACTATTGGGAAACAGGTAATTAAATCCAGGAGCTTGGGCAGGAGACATGGAACATGAGCTGGGGATCCATCCCAGATGTTTTCCAGCAGTTTCCCAGCTCCAGAGGTTGGGAACAATCCCAGTGGCAGCACCTTGTTCTGTGCAGGTACAGAAAAATCTGGGATGAAAACTCATGGTTTGTTATATTTACTTACTTATTATAAATTTTATCTTACCATATTTATTATTTTTATTGTTTATCCTACTATATTTATGGTTTTATTTTATTTATTTAGTTAGTTATTATATATTTCCACTCCTGGAAACATCCCAGTTTTGCCGTGGGAATGTTAATAAAAATGAAGGATCTATTTTAATTCCAAAGTTCAGCAGCTCCAGCATTTCCTGGGAGCTTAAATCCCCATTTTTAAGATGTATCCCACCCAATAATATGAATTTCATCCAAGTTTTCCTTATGCTAAAGAGCTAAAAAAATTCCAAATCAGGATTCCAAAGGCTAAAAGTCAAAACTTTAAGAGCCTCACCTCCCTTATATCCCAGTTTTTTAACTCTTCTCCTCCTTAAAAGAGGAAAATCTGGAAGCCTGAAGCTTTTCTTATCTCCCTATCTGCCCACTAACAGCCCTGGGAGGCTGAAAAGGCCCATTCCCAGCAGGAATTCAGCTCAGGAATTCACAGGGACCCATCTGAAAGCCCTTTGCTGCCTGAAAAAAAAAAAAAAGGGCACAAAATGCAAAAACCTCAGCACTTAAATCCCAACTTCCAGCTTAGGAAGTTGGAATTTAACCTGTTTTGCTCAGGCTGGGTGAGCCAAAAATATTTCGGGATGCAGATGGAATTCCATGGACCGCCTTCATCCACACCAGGGAGAAGGAAACCAGAAGGTGGAAATTTGGAATCCCAAGAAGATCCTGAAGCCCCAAAGGAATTTTCCCCTCAATTCCCACCCTCTGAACTGAAGGATTTCCTAAAACCCTCCCAGGTCTGAAGATCCATCACCCGCTGGGCTCAGTAATCCCAAATGGAGGATAAAAAGTAAGGAAAGAAGCGCAGTTGTCCTTGGGAATGGTGGAATATTGTGATGAACTGCCAGGGAATCTCTGCAGAGCACTGGGATTTAACATCCCAAAGTGTCCCTGCTCCCAGAAATCCTGCACTGCACATGGATAATGAACAACCAGAAGAAAAGCTGGGAAGTTCACAGGAAATCCTGCTGCTTCCCCCCCAAAAAAAAAAAAACATGGAGAGAGGAAAGGCAAAAGGACACACAGGGAAGGGGGGAAATCCCTATAAAATCTCTTATTTAAATGGAAGCTGGAATTCCAGCCGAGCTCTCCGGAAAATGAGGTCAAGGTGCCTTTTCCTGCAGCACATCCCTGAAATCCTGCTTCCCAAAATGCCCACTTCCTGCTTTAGACAACATTTTCCCTGAGGTTTTGGAGCTGGAAGTTTGGAGCAGGGGAAGTGGCACCATTTGTCCCCTGCTGGAATATGAAGGAAAAAAGGGAGGATTGGACATTCCAGGGAAAGGAGGAGCTGAATCTGTGGAAAATCAGGATTTATCCTTTCATTTATAAAAACAAGGAGTGACCTCATTTATTGATTTCATTCTTTATGTGTCAGAATTCCAGCCCCTTGGGAATTCTCCAGGAAAAAGATCCAGTTAAGAAGAAAATATCCGGTTTCCTGCTCCTTCCCCAAAATCTCTGGGAACTCCCAAACTCCCCCCAAATCCTGCTGTTCCTTTTTGCTCAGACCCAGGGAATGTCTGAGGAAGGAATGAAAGATGGAAGCAATCAGGAATTCCCAGGGAAGCTGGGAAAGGGATTCACCTGCCACAGGGAGGGAAAGGATGAGGATGAGGATGGATATGGGAAAGGGGTGGTTTCAGAAACAGAGGGAACAAATCCAGGCCTGAACTCCAAAGCACAGCTCCTGGCTCTGCACCATTCCCTGGAAAACCTCCCCCTCCTCTGGGAGCAGGGAAGGACATTCCAGCAGCAGCTTTTGGAGTCAACAACTTCCCATCAGCGTGATGGAAATGGGATCACTTCCCAGGTAATCCCTGCCCCAAATCCCTTCCTTTGCCCCCAGCAGGAACAAAGAGCCATCCAAGGAAAAAGGGAACGTTAAACTGACCTTTCCTGCCCTGATCCAATGAAATCCTAAAACCCAGGGTTAGGCCTGGCTTAAAGTTCATTCTCAATTCCACCCTCAGCACCTCCCCCCAGCTGCTTATCCCCATTCCCAACATTTTTTACCTCCCCTCATCATCCCAATTTTATTCCTCTCCATCTTTTCCAGCCCATGGACACTTTGCTGTGACCCCCTCCAGAGGCAGCACCACAATCCAACCACAGCTGAACATTCCTCCTTCCAGCAAAAGCCACTTTAAGGACAAAAAATTAGTGGGAATTAATGGGGAAAAGCAGGGGGAAAAAAAAAAAAATCCATATTTTAAGTTTTTCCCAAATCCTTTCCCACGAATCCCAGGAAAGTTCCTCCCTTTAAGTTGCTTTTTAAAGTTTTGGGGTTTGTTTGTTTGTTTTGTTTGTTTTTGTTTGTTTGTTTGTTTTTGTTGTTGGGTTGTTTTTTTTTTTCTTTAAGTTGCTCTTTTTAAATTGCTCAATTTAAGTTAAAATACGCTTGGGACCAGGAAAAGGATTCCAGGAGGAGCCAAGGAACTGAAAACTTGAGGAATTTTAGAACAATAATAACAACAGGAATCAGGCAAATTCCATGTACTTACAGTTGCTGTTACCAGTGACCAGGATGGGCCTTCATTCCCAACGCATTCCCAGCACCTGGAAGTGTTGAGGCCCCACCTGGGCTGAGCCAATTCCCGGGGAATTTGGGCTTTGTGCTAAAAACCAGGGGGAAAAACCCTGGAGGAGCAGCAAAGCCACGCCCCTCCCTCCAGAGGGAGGGACTTGGGAAGGACCCCCAGCACATCTTATCCCACCCCCTGTCCTCCTGGTCCAGGTAAAAGCTGGAATTTCCACCCCTCCTCCAGGTATCCCATCCCCAGGGTGTTCCCTGGGGCAGCAAATTCCAGCCCTGAGTTTATCATCACCCCCTGGCCCTGCAGCTTTGTCTCCCAAAGGGCCTGGAAAACCAGGAATTTCCTCTGGTTTGGGGGGAGTGGGAAATGTGGAAGCCATTCCCGACCTCTCCCTCTCCCCAAGAGAGGAGCTGGAAGGAGCAATCCTGTCCCCTCCATCCCCAAATTCCCAAAGATGTGTCCTACAAGCTGCACGCTGAAGCTAAAATATGGAATTTTCATCCGTTTTTCCCCAGGTCACCCTCTAATTCTCAAAAAGGAATTCTGGAAAACAAGGAAATTGTTTTTGCCTGGAAAACAAGGAATTCTCTGTGTTCCGGGGCTTGCTGGAGCCACGTCAGACACACAGAACCCATTCCCAATATTCCTTCACTGCCAGAAATGAAGCTGGAAGGAGCAATCCTGCCCCCTCCATCCCCAAATTCCCAAAGATGTGTCCCACAAGCTTCACATTGAGCCAAAACCATGGAATTTCCATGTATTTTTCACCAGGCCACTCCTTAATTCCCAATATTCCCAGAATTCCCCATATCAAAGCTAAAGTATCCCACTCTCCCCTCCCAAACTCATCCCAAATTTAACAGGAAGACGCTTCCCAGCCCTGAAATCACATTCCAAGTCTCCTACAATTCCACCTGGCAGGTTAAGGTGGGAATGGGAATATCTTGGGAATTGCTCTCCATCCCAGGAAAGAAAATAAAGCCCCTTCCTGCTCCTTTACACCTGGAATTGGCACTAAAATTCCAACCTGGGAATGGGTTGTGCAGGGAAACCCCAAGCACCGGGCTCTGGAGTCTTTCCTGTTGCATTTCCATGCAAAAGGCTGGAAAAAAAAATCCCCTGGGAATGACACATTTTGGATTTCCAGCTGCTGGTGCATTTCAGGAAGGAAACCACGGAATTACAAAGAGATCCTGGGAAAGCTGGAAAATCTTGGGAGCAATGGGGGGAAAGACAGTGGGAATCCACTGGAAAATAGGGATCCAGGTGGAAGATTCCCCAGGCTCCAGCACAACGGATTCCTCTCACATTAAAATCATGGATCCAGTGTTGACTCCTGGCTCACATTCTCCTGAATTTTAGGTCCTGATCCAGAACATTCCCCCTGGGATCTCCCAGGAATTGCAGTCTCTGGGATGGATCCCAAAAAGCTGAGATGCAGCTGCAGGGACGGAACAATTTTAGGGAAGTTTACCCTCCAAAAAAATGGGAAAAGAAGAAAATCTTTTTCCTTGAATCAACCAACATTCCAACAACCAGAGCCACACTGGGACATCCTCAGGACTTTTCCTCAAGGAGTCCTGAAGTTCTGGAAGGAACAATGGCCAGGTGTTTATAAATCCTCTCTTCCCTTCCAAATATCCACCCAAACACATTCCAATCAGAATTCCAGCAGCAGATCCGGGCACAGGGTTCCCAGAGAAGCTGCAGCTGCCCCATCCCTGGAAGTGTCCCGGGCCAGGTTCCCAAATTCCCCACTCAGGCTCCCAAACTCAAACGTATAAGGAGAGTTATCCTTCAATAATCCAGCTTTTCAGACACACTAAAGTGGGAACACAGAGCTGGAAATCCCTTGGATCCAGCGAGAGCCAAGTCCTTTCCCTTCTCCCTTTCACGTCCCGTGGGACCATCACGAATAAAGGGGAGGAGCATTCCAAGGGAAATGCAGGTGGAAAATGCAGCCCTTCCCTCCCATCAGCATCTCCCAGGTGGATTGGGACACACCCATGGACCTGGTTTGGGTCTTTAACCACAGCACATTTTCCAGGAGCTTGAGCCGAGGGAATCAACCTCCTGGATGGTTTTCCTTAGGGAAAAGCAGCAAATACAACCCAGATTCCCACGGGAAGGAAAAACCACCAAGTCCCAAAGTGACGCCGACACGGAACAGCCCCGGAGCCTCCACAGCTCCAAAGAACAGCAAAAATCCTTAGGAACAGCCACAGCCAAAAACCTGGAATTCCAGGCTGGCTGAATCCATCTCAGGTCACCTTAACAAAACCAGTGGAGAATTCCAACGCTCCGATCCTGAATCCCAACCCCTCCAAACCACCCTCGGACACACCAAACCCCACCGGCATCACTGGTGGGATGGCTGGAAAACCATCTCCACCCGGGACAGAGCTGAATTCCCACTGGGAAGGTCTCCATTTTCCATCAGAACACAAGGACATGAGGGAAATAAATCCTTGGAGCTCTCGACTCCATGAGATGCCATCACCAACACGTCAACTTGTCCCAGAGGTTCCTCCAACGCTCGGGATGCAGCGGATGGGGACGATCACGGAATCTTCTTCAAGGAAGCAACAGCACTGAGAAACATCCATCAAATATCCATCAAAAACAAGGATTCCTGGAGAAACCATGGCTGCCCCAGCCCTGGAAGTGTCCAAGGCCAGGTTGGAGCAAGCTGGGCTAGTGGAAGGTGTCCCTGCCCACGGCAGAGGGTGGCACTGGGTGGGATTTAAGGTCTCTTCCAGCCCAAACCAGTCTGGAATTCTGAGCAGGTCCAGGCCAGCATCAGGCAGCTCCAAGGAGAAGCTCCAAGTGCAGTGTGGTGGTGGCTCCGAGCTCTGGGAATGGGGTTATCCCAAATTGGAGGTTCTGCTGGAAGCTGCAGTTCTCAGGAATCCGAGCTCTGGCTGACAACGGACACGGAGAGCGACCGATCAGGGAAAAGCTGGACAGAGTTTCTTTCCCAACAGGAAAACTCCAGGAAAAGCCATTGGAATGGACGACATCCACCTGCTCCGGCCAGCGCGGAATCCAGCTCAGTAGCATCCCTGGAAGGGTCCAAGGCCAGGCTGGATGGGGCTTGGAGCATCCTGGGATGGTAGGAGGTGTCCCTGCCCGTGGCAGGGAGTGGGACTGGATGATCCTGAAGGTCCCTCCAAACCCCAGGAATAATTCCCAGGAAAATGAGGCTGAGCCCAATGATTTCCCAGGCTCCATTCTCACCACCAGGCTCTGCCCAACACTCTCCCAGCAGCACAATTCCAACACTCCGAGCCACAACAGCAACTCATCCCAAAAAACCAAACCAAGCACATCCCTCCTCATCCAGCAGGAACGGGATAGGGACAGCCACAGTCTCTGGCAGCACATCCCACAGCCACCGGAGCTTGGCTCTAACTCCACTCTTCCCAAACACCCAACACATCCTGGGACATTTCTAACGACCTGATAATCCCAAATAATCTTCCTCCCCAGGGCAAAGCTGCGGTGCTGGGAAGAGCACCCCCAAACCAAGACACAGCCGTAAGGAAGGCGGCACAGACACGCCGGGAACACCGGGATTCACGGCAGGGACACGGAAACACAACTCCTAAAAACACCAGGACACGCCTGGGAACTCCCCGAGCCCCAGGATGGAACTGACGCCTCAAGGAAACCCCCAAATCAGGACAATTAATCAGTAATTCCGTAGGGAGCTGTCAGGGAATCCGCTCCAGCTCCTTCCAGCAGCCCAGCTTGGCGCCACTGGACACCTTCAGACAACAAACCCGATGCTTTTGGATCCCAAATCTCACATGCTGACACAGCCTGCGGTGCCAAGATCCCTCCCAGCACTCCAAACTGCAAAGGTGAGATTCCTAAATTGGGATACAACTTCTGGGATCGACTGGAGAGTCCTTTGGACCCAGAGGGTCCCTCAGGAAGGGGACAGTCACTCCCCCCCAGGGATAAGCTGAAGTAAATCAGGCTTTACTCCAGGTTCTCCTGCCCCAGGAGCAAAACACAACCTGGATCCTGAATCCAATCCTGCATTCCCCACTCATTTCAGACGGCTCAGCCACCGGCAGCGTTTCACTGGAACAAGGGGAAGCTGTTCCTCAGCTGCTCCAGGTGGGCACGGCCAGAACCCGCTCAGGAAAGGTTTGCTCCGTTGTCCTTGCTCAAAAACCCCACTATTTTTAGCTTTTCCCGCAATCCCGCCACCGCACAGGGGGTGCTCCGTGCCAGGTGTCTGCTCCAGAGCCGGCAGAGTTTACAGAGCCCCCGAGTCCTTCGCCAAGGAAGTCTAAAAATGTAAAAATAGCGTTGAGAACCGGCAGGAAAAGGAGGGGGGGGAGGCGAGAAATCCAGCGGGGAAGGAGTGACTTTGCTCAGGAGAGGCGATAAAGCCGGAGGCCCGGGCGGGATAAAGGGGGTGGGTTGGAGAAATTCCCCATCCAGAGGAGGACCAGAGTTCCCGGCCATTAAACTGCTCCCCCTTCTCTGGCTCCTTCCTCCTGGCAGAAAATGGGGTCAGGGCAGGGGCCGCCCGGGGCCGGGCAGGATTCAAGGCGTAAAATCAAGACGGGGCTCGCTAAGCAGGAAAAAATAACGTTAATAATAATAACAACAATAATAAAGGTGGTGGTGAAAAATGGCCCCGCGGGGAGGCCGGGACACGTCCGCACGCTCCGCCCGGCTCCCCCCGCGCTCCCCCGGGCAGGGACGGGACAGGGACAGGCACCGGGGCAGGGAAAAGGGGGACACAGGGAAAGGGGAGACACCGGGAAAGGAGGGACACAAGGAACGAGAGGACACGGCTCCCCCACCACCACCACCCCCTCCGCCGGCCCCGGCGCGGCCGCTCCCGCCCCGCGCTGCCCGCCCGCCCCGCGCCCGCCCCGGCCGCGGCCATCACGCAAGGCCGGGGATGTGCGGCCTACCCCGGGCCGGAGGGAGAGCGGAGGGAAGGGGACGGGGAGCGGGGAAGGGGAAGGGAAGGGGTGCAGGAGAGGGAAGGGGGAAGGGGTCGGGAAGGGGAGTGGGAAGGGGCAGCGTCCCGGCTGCCCGCGGCCGGCGCTGCCCGGCGCCGGCGGGCCCGAGGCCGCGCAGGGCCCGCGCTTACTCCGGCGTGGGGTGCTCCGGGTCGTAGAAATCCCCCATGGTGGGTGGGCGGGCGCGGGGCTCCGCAAGTGCCCCCTGGCCGGGGAGGCCCCGCTCGCCCCGTCGGGGCTCCTCACATGGTCCGGCGGGGCCCCCCCGCCACCCGCGCCCAGCCCGGCCCGGCCCCGCCGCGATCCGCCCCGGCCGCGGCTCCTCCTCCCGCCGCTCCGCTGCGGCCGCCGCGCTCCGGGACACGCTCCGGGACACACCGGGATACAACGGGATACACCGGCACCGGGACACACCGGGATACAACGGGATACATCGGTACCGGGACACACACCGGGATACATCGGGACCGGGACACGCACCGGGACTGGGACGCACACTGGGACCGGGACACACCGGGATACACACCGGGATACACACCGGGATACACCGGGACACACACCGGGACACAGTGGGATACACCGGGACACACACCGGGACCAGGATGTTTTCAGAACCATATTGGGATCACCCCCGGGATCACCCCCGGGATTACCGGGGTCACACCAGAATCAGCCACAGTGTCACCAACATCGCATCGGGATCAGCCGTGGAATTGCTGGGATCAGCTGCAGCACCCCCGGGATTTTCTCAGGGCGTATCAGGATCCCTACACCAGGATCAGCAGCAGGACCGCTGGGATCTCCTTGGGGTCAGCCACTGAACCACCAGGATCCCCTCGGGATCACACCTGGATCACCCCCAGGATCACCAAGACCACAACAGGCAACTGGACCACAGCAGGATCAGCCACAGGATTGTCAAAATCTCCCCAGGATCACTGGGATCATACAGGGATCACCCCCAGGATCAGTGGAGCCACAACCTGCCACTGGATCCCCAGGATCTCCTTCTGGGATCTTCAGGATCAGATGGGAGATCACCAGGATCACACCCGGATGAGCTGCAGGACTGCTGGGATCACCAGGGCTACACCTGGATCACTCATGGAACCACCAGGATCTTCCTGGGATCTCCTCAGCATCACCCTGGGATCACCCCCAGGATCACTGAGATCTCCCCAGGACCACACCAGGATCTCACTGGTGTCACCTTTGGGATTGCCAGGATCAGCCCAGGGATCCCCAGGCCCCTGGATCGCCCACGGAACACCAGCATCCCAGGAATCTGGGATCATCTGCTTCCCTGGCATCTCCCATACCCTGGGACACTGGCACACCAGGATCATCCCCAGTCCAGTACCAGCACTCCTGGGATCACCCACACCCCTGGGATCATTCCCGGGATCACCCACACCCCCAGACACTGGCGCCACAGGACACCAACAGCCCTGGAATTCCCAGAAGACAGGGATCACTGGCAGCCTGGGATCTCCTCCAGGATCACGGGCACCCCCAGGATCACACCCTGGGATCACAGCCTGGATACCACCACACCGTGTTCCCAGGGCTGTTCCTGCCCCCAGGCCGGGGGAAATCCCTGGGATGATCAGAGAGAAACACCCCAAAAATCCCTAAAAACCCTCTTTTCCTTTCACAGGTCATTTCCCCGCTTCCCAAACCCTGGGAAAGCTCCTCCAGGGAGCTCAGCCCGGGAGACCCACCTGCTTTTGGGATGCAGTAGGACCTTCCCACTCTCACAGGAGCCTCCAAACCACATTTGCAGCTTCCAATATCGAGATTTTTTCGGGATTGTCCCAGATTTGGGAGCACAGCACGGGCAGCAGGGACCCACGGGGATGGGGTGGGAAGCAGGGGAGGGTGCATGGACAAAGGAAAGGCTTAGCTCCAAGTGTGTGGAAGTGTTTTCTTGGGAAATCCAGCCTGGGTTGAATTTCCAGCAGCTTTATGAGCCTTTGGAAATAGATAATTCCAAAGGAAAGTTGATTTCTGGGCTGTTCTCTGACGCCCTTCTGGGAAGTAGGTGCTGTTATGGGAATAGAAGGAAGCTCCAACATACTTCCAACTTCCCAAATAATTTGGAGGGAGCTGGGGGGGCTCAGCCTGGAGAAAAGGAGGCTCAGGGGGGACCTTCTGGCTCCCTGTAATTCCCAGGAAAGAGGTTTCAGCTGGGGAGGTCGGGCTCTGCTCCCAGGGAACAGGGACAGGAGGAGAGGGAACAGCCTCAAGGAGAGGTTTAGGTTGGATATCAGGAAAATCTGGGAAGGGCTGCCCAGCCCTGGCACAGCTGCCCAGGGCAGGGGTGCAGTCCCCATCTCTGGAGGGATTTCCAAGCCCTGTGGATGTGGCACTTGGGGACATGGTCAGTGGTGGCCTTGGCAGTGCTGGGAGAACAGTTGGACTCAATCTTGGAGGGCTTTTCCAATCCAAACCATTCCATGATTACCCATAAATTAACCTTTGTTGTTTCATTCCCTTCTCCAGGCAGATCCAACCAGCAAAGACTTGTTGCTCCAACAGGAACGAGCCAGGAGACCAGTGGCTCCAGCACCAGGAAAGAGGGAGGTGGGAGCAGCCTGGGTTGTCCAGAGGCTCAGGAAAACCAGTGGTGTTTGAACTCCCTGGCTCGTGTCCTGTGCAAACAGCGGGATCGATCCCCAGTGACCGTCCCAACCTGCACAAAGGTTGGATGCTTCGATCTTCCCAGTGTTTATTCTTACAAATCGATGGTGGACACGAGCACGAGGCACTCTGGGAGCTGGCATTCCTCAGGGAATGCTGGGATCCAGGCTGAGCCCCGCCTGCTACGCGCTGTGCAGGAAGGAGAGGGGTTTGTTCTTCCCAGCAGCCCTGAGGATCCCAGCTCTCCTGCGCATCTGCTGCAGGGCCAGCGTGGTCCTGTCAAAGGTGTGCTGGGAACAGGGAACACAAAGGGATCAGCTCGGATTGCACAGCACAGTTCTCACCTCTAAAAGCTTTTGACCTGAAAAATAAAACCAAACACCTTCCCAGCCTTTCCAGGGGGTGCTGGGAAAAAGCTGGAAAAGTCCCCGTCACACCAGCATTGCTCTGCTGGTGGTAGATCCCAGCAGGCTCCAAGGAGGGCACGACAAATCCTGGGAAATCCTCCTGAGCACTGAAAAGCTGGTTTTGAAATGTTTTCATGGAATCCAGAACAGTTTGGGTGGGAAGGGACCTTAAGGATCATCTCATTCCAACCCCCTGCCATGGGCAGGGACACCTCCCACCAGCCCAGGGTGCTCCAACCTGGCCTTGGACACTTCCAGGGATCCAGAGGCAGCCACAGCTTCTCTGGGCAACCTGTGCCAGGGCCTGCCCACCCTCCCAGCCAAGAATTCCTTTCCAATATCCCATCTGTGGCAGGGGGTGGAAGGGGATGATCCCTGAGGCCCCAGCTGGGGTTACCTGCTGCTCAATCTTCATCTTGGCCCTGTAGAAGGGGGTGGATCCTGGGCAGTCCGGCAGGTTGGTCTCCTGCATCCGCTCAAACCTGTCCTGCTCATCTTCATCCTGCAGGGAAAAGCAGACCCCATCCCATGTGAAAAACACACCTGGAGACACGAGTCAACTGGTCCCATTCAGTTCAGCCACATCTCCAAAGCCTTGGGAGTGAGAGGTTCCCATTCCTTCACCTTAGAAGGGCAGATCTGGGCAGGACTTTAAGACAAGGGTTGGGGCTGGATGGCCAAGCTCAGCACGGTCCAGCTCCCAGCTGATGTCCATCCTGGGCTGCTCCAGGGAAAATCAGGAAGGTGTGAGCACACATGGCTTGAATGAAGGACCATTTTAAAGACACCAGCCTGTATTTCATGTTTTCATGCTGGATTTGGCACTTCCAGGGATGGAGCAGTCACAGCTTCTCTGGGCAACCTGTGCCAGGGCCTGCCCACCCTCCCAGCCAGGAATCCCTTCCCAATATCCCATCTATCCCTGCCCTCTGGCAGTGGGAAGCCATTCCCTGGACTCTCTGCAGCAGCTCCACGTTCTCCTGCTGCTGTTCCCAGGGCTGGGGCAGCTCTGCAGGGGGGTCTCACCTGAGGGGGCAGAGGGGCACAATCCCCCCCTGCCCTGCTGCCCACGCTGGGGGGGATGCAGGAATTTTGGGAAATGAGAATTTTACAGGAATGTGCTTTTTCAGGATCAGGAAAAGGCCTGGCACCCAAAGTGGTGGTTCCTGGCAGAGAACTCGCCAAGTCCCAGTCCCCACAAAAGGGAACACAATAGTCTGGCTGCAAGGATTGGATCCCTCAGGCTGGAAACCAAGCTGGAAACCAGGCTCCCGAGCACCCTCCAGCTCCGGGCACTTTGCCCGATTCCTGACACTCCACATTCCCAGGTCCCTCAGTCACTGTCCTGTTTTAGCCTGTAAATGGATGTGGCTCCAGACAGACAGTCCCCCTGTGCCTCCCCTTCCTCCTCCTCCTCCTCCTGGTTCCCTCATCACCCACCAAGGAGGACGAGCAGAGCCAACTCACCAGGCACATGACCCTGTTGATGGGAATCATTCCAGGCCGGATGCTCCCCCCGGGCCTCAGAGCTTCCCGCAAATCTTCAGGGATGAGGAAGGACTCGTTGTACCAGATCTCAAACTCTGCAAGGCACAGGGGGGCATTAACAGGCTGTAACGACCCGAGGGACGGCAGGGGGATGGTTCTCCCTGCCTGTGGATCAGGAGGGATCTCGGTGCTCTTAAACCCTCGGAGGGGAGCTCAGAATTCCAAGGTCTTGAGTTGAAACTCTGTGAAAAGTTGCTTTAAGGGCGCTGGGGGCTGTGCTGGAGGTGGTGGCTGCTCCTGGGGACATTCCCTGGCCACGAGATGGCACCACTCCTGCAGCCCATGGATGGATGGGGATCATTCCTTTGGAATGGTCAGCACGGCTGGGGCTCGGGTTTCAATCCCACCCGCTCAAGCACAGCCATGTGCCATCCCATAATAGCCCGTGACAACAGACAGCAGGTGGGAATTCTGTCCTTATTAATCCCGGGCATTTCCCAGGCACTGCACTGCCGATAGGGAGGGTTTTGGATATTTGAATAAACATCTGGAACGCCCAAAAGTGCCAAACCCGGATGATCCAACGGGAAGCAGTGGCTCCGTTAGGATTTGGCCCTGTCCATCCCTGGCACAATCCCTGGCATCTCCTGCAGCGTGGGATGCCCTGATGGATCCAAGCTGTGCCCTGGCATGTTTGTAGAAATCGAGTGTTGCCATGTGCACGACATCCAAATGTTTGGGACTCTGGCATTTGTACAAATCCAGGGATACAGCAGGGGGAGTGAATGCACAGATTCCCACGTGGAACACACCAGGAATTCGCAGGGATCACCCCGGGCAGAGGAGTGACCAAGCTCTGCTCCCTGCCAAGGCTGCAGCTCTGGGACCTGGAGCTCCCAGGGGGAAGAGGATTCACCTGGAATGTGGAGCCAGAGCCCTGTCCCAGGACAACTCCTTGACCACCACCTCTGGGACAGAAAACCAGGGAGGAGGTCCAGGGGCAGCAGTGGGAGCACTGCTGGTAAATTCCTTGTGGAAATCTTTGTCCCAGGGTTGCACCTACTGGAGTGACCAAGTAGCAGAGTGTCATTATTTGGGAGAGAGAAGCTGCAGGAATTCAGTGCCAGGTCAGAGGAAAGAGCCACTTAACAAGCAATAAAATCTGGTCTGGAAGGGAACAGGGAAAAGGAAGAGGATGGGAACTGCCTGGAGTGCCAGGATAAGGGGGAATGGCTTCCCACTGCCAGAGGGCAGGGAGAGATGGGATATGGGGAAGTAATTCTTGGCTGGGAGGGTGGGGAGGGGCTGGAATGGATTTCCCAGAGAAGCTGTGGCTGCCCCTGGATCCCTGGAAGTGTCCAAGGCCAGGTTGGAGCAACCTGGGATAGTGGAAGGTGTTCCTGCCCATGGCAGAGGGTGGAATGGGATGATCCTTAAGGTCCCTTCCCACTCAAACCATTCTGGGATTGGGTGATGCTTGTGAATGCTCCAGTCTGGTGTACCCTGAGGCCGCTGAGCCTGCTGATCCATACCCAAGACGAGCCTTCTCCTGCACTTATCCACCAGCTCCTGGCAGTACTGGATCTCTGCCTTGAGGTCCTGCAGCTCAGCATAACCAGCCCTGTGCTCTTCCTTCAGCTCCTTCAGCCTCAGGATGAGGGAGAACTCCTTCTCATCGATGATGACCTGGCCCTTCTCGTCGGTGTATTCCCCTGAGGGGAGAGAAGGAGAGGGATGTCCCTGGTGAGGGGGGAGGGGAGGGACAGGGCTCTGCAGGGGGCACAGCCTGGAGGAGGGGCTCACTTGGATCCCACGGGAAAAATCCCAGGGAAGCCGTGGGAAAGGATTCAAAGGCTAAATCCTGGTCAGTGCTTTGGGACAGTTAAACCAGCACTGCTGAGAATCATGGAATGCTTTGGGATGGAAGGGAACTCAGAGCTCATCCTGTCCCACCCCTGCTACGGGCAGAGACACCTCCCACCAGCCCAGGCTGCTCCAACCTGGCCTTGGACACTTCCAGGGATCCAGGGGCAGCCACAGCTTCTCTGCCCAACCTATGCCAGGGCCTGCCCACCCTCCCAGCCAGGAATTCCTTTCCAATATCCCAGGGGTAAAGCCTGAGGAGCTCAGCTCAGCTCAGTGAAGTGTGGAGGACTCAGGTGACAGCCCAGCCTGTCCCGCTGTCCTGGCAACCAGCAGTGCTGGGTTAGTGGTCTCACCACCCAAAACTCCTCGAAGCCAAGAGCTCCCTCCCTCTGCCACATCCCTGTTGGCCACAGGGACTCACCCTCCTGCCACCGCTTCTGCTTCTTCCCCTGCAGGGCCTCCCTGACTCCCTCCATCTCCCGCCTGACCTCGTTGATCCTCCGTGCCACGGAATTGCTGCTCCTCTGCCTGGCCAGGAGGATGTTCTTGTTGTCCCTGAAGATGTGGTTGATCTCCCTGCCAGCCCCCTGCTTGAACTGCTCGAACGCCTCCACCTTGGATGGGGGGAAGCTGAAATCAGACACAGACGGGGGGAGGTCACTTTGTTCTGCTCTGCGGCACAGAATCAGGGAATCAGGGAATTGTGGAGGTTGGAAAAGCCCTCCAAGATCACCAAGTCCAACTGGTCCCCCAACACTGCCAAGGCCACCACTGACCATATCCCCAAGTGCCACATCCACAGGACTTGGAAATCCCTCCAGGGATGGGGACCCCACCCCTGCCCTGGGCAGCCTCTTCCAATGTTTTCCAACCCTTTCCAGGCAGAAATTCCTCCTGATGTCCAACCTGAGCATCCCCTGGCACAGCCTGAGGCCGTTCCCTCTCCTCCTGTCCCTGTTCCCTGGGAGCAGAGCCCGACCCCCCCCGGCTCCCCCCTCCTGTCAGGGATTGCAGAGCCAGAAGGTCCCCCCTGAGCCTCCTTTTCTCCAGGCTGAGCCCCCCCAGCTCCCTCAGCTGCTCCTG